GAGTCAGAGAAGGATAACAAGAAGTAAAATAAGCTTTTAAAATACCTTTCTTCCCCCCCAGCCCCTCCCTCTTTCCCTCTGACAGCGTAGAGAGACAGGGAGTGGGGGTTTTGGTTAGTTCATCACCTGAGATCTTTTTCTGTTTGCTCAGGGAGGGAAGTCTTTGCTGTGCTGTGGGGTCCATCCCATGGGAGATGGTTCTCTGTGAACTTCTCCAGCATGGCTCCAATCTTACAAGCAGCAGTCCTGCCAAAACTGCTGCAACATGAGTTCCTCCCATGGGCAAACAACCTTTCTGAAATGGCTGTGGTGTGGTTCACTTATCTGCGGGGTGCAGTCCTTCAAGGATAGGCTGTTCTAGTTTGGAAGTTCAACATGGTGGAAGATTGTAGCCATTTCTCACAGAAGCCATTTCTGTGGCCCTCCCCCACTACTAAAAAACCAGGCCATGCCAAATCAACACACAGAGTAACAAAAATGCTGTAAGGAAGTCCTTAAATATTTTCATTGTTGGTCACTCAACATGGGAGAGTGAAGGATGAACTCACTAATGGGCAAATGCAGCCAGACCTAAATGTATTCAAGAAATACCACTTTTGGACCATGACTGAGTATATTCTGCCTTTGGTAGCTATTTGAAGTGTGAAACACTTGTCTTAGCTACTGAAGAGGAAATATTTTGAAATTTCATCTTGATAGAGGGTTCACTGTTCTGCCTCAGTGTTGTTGTGCCTTCATTACTTGTAAGGTTGGCTCACAGAATCACAGAATTAAGTAGGTTGGAAAGGACCTTTGAGATCCTCAAGTCCAACCTATGACCTAATATCACCTTATCAACTAGACATGGCACTAAGTGCCACATCCAGTCTTTTCTTAAGCACCTCCAGGGATGGTGACTCCACCACCTCCCTGGGCAGCCCATTCCAATGCCCAATCATTCTTTCTGTGAAGAACTTCTTCCTAATGTCGTCCTAAACCTAAACATTCTCTGATGCAGCTTAAGACTGTCAGTTGTTTCCTGGGAGAAGAGACCGACCCCCACTTGGCTACAACTTCCTTTCAGGCAGTTGTAGAGAGTGAACAGATCTCCCCTGACTTTTCTTTTCTCCAGGCTAAACAACCCCTCATCCGTTCCTCATAGGACTTGTGTTCCAGACCCTTCACCAGTCTTGTTGCCCTTCTCTGGACATGCTCCAGCATCTCAACATCCTTCCTAAATTGAGGGGCCCAGACCTGAACACAGTACTCAAGTTTTGGCCTCCCCAGTGCTGAGTCCAGGGGAAGAATCACTTCCCTGGTCCTGCTGGCCACGCTATTGCTGATACAGGCCAGGATGCCATTGGCTTTCTTGACCACGTGGGCACACTGCTGGATCACGTTCAGTCTGCCATCAGTCAGTACCCCCAGGGTCCCTTTCTGCCTGGCCTCTGTCCAGCCTCTCTGTTCTCAGGCTGTAGTGCTTCAGGGGGTTGTTGTGGCCAAAGTGCAGGACCTGGCACTTGTCTTGTTAAACCTCATATCATTGGATTCATCTCATAATCCAGCCTGTCCAGGTTGCTCTGCAGAGCTTTCCTACCCTCCAGCAGATTGAGATTCACACCCAATTTGGTGTCATCTGCAAATTTGCTAATGGTAGACTTGATCCCCTCATCCAGATCATCAGTAAAGATATTAAACAGGTCTGGGCCCAGTACAGATCCTTGGGGGATGTCACTAGTGATGGGCCACTAATTGGATGCAACACCATTCACCACCGAGTGGGCCTGGCTATCAAGCCAGTTCTTAACCCTGCAAAGAGTGCACCTGTCCAAGCCATGGGCTGTCAGCTTTTCGAGGATTATTTTGTGGGAGACGAGACAGTGTTGAAGGCTTTGCTCAGTCCAGGTAGACAACATTGACAGCCTTCCCTGCAATCTACCAGATGGGTCACCTGGTCATAAAAGGAGATCAGGTTGGTTAGGTAGAGCTTGCCCATCCTAAATCCATGCTGGTTGGTTCTGATCCCTTGGCCACCTTGCAGGTGCTGTGTGATCGTACTCAAGATGATCTGTTCATACAACCTTGCCAGGCACTGAGATGACTGACAGGCCTGTAGTTTCCTGGATCCTCCTTTTGGCCTTCTGATGGATGGGTATTAGATTGACCAGTTTCCAGTCATCTCAGACCTCCCCAGTTAGCCAAGACTGATGATAAGTGAGGGAGAATGGCTTAGGGAGCTCTTCTTCCAGCTCACTCATCAGCCTAGTATGGATCCCATCTGGTGCCACAGGCTTGTGAGCTTTTTAAGTGGCTCAGCAGGTCACTGTTTCCTTCTGAATTGCAAGGAGGCTATTCTCTGTCTGTCTAATAGTTCAGGGGGCCTGTTGTTCTGAGGACAACCTGTCTTATTGTTAAAAACTGAGGAAAATAGGCCCTCCTTCCCTTCCGTGCTTGCCTTTACTCAAGCAAGAAAGGGCAAAGCTGAGATGGTTTAGAAATGTTCTTGCATCATGATCAGCATCAGTGAAACTGAACAGAATTTTGGATGGCATTGTGTAAGCTTTTAGTATGATGGAGACACTGGAATTGCATGTCTGCAAATTCAAGCAGTACTGCATCAATTTTCTTTTTCTCAAATTCATAACTGTTATATAGATTGGCATGTTTTAGGCAGTGGATAGTTTGGATCTTACTGTGTTAAAACAGGGTTGCATATCCCTATCAGTCTACCAGGTAGTTTGAGTGAATTTTAAAAATGAACTTGTGCCATTGTTTAAAGTTTTGTCATCTTATCTGTATGTTTTGGGTATTATAATTAATATTTTGTGAAAGAATGAATTTGTAAATTTGTGAATTTATGTCTGAGCCTCCTGAACCTGGCTGCACTAACGTGGTCAAGGACTTCCAGGGATTACTGACAATCTAACAATTCATAGATGCTGAACAAGCTGACAGACCATCACTTTTGGGGGGGATGAACTTGTTAGAGATCAAATAGGAATCCTTTTTAATGTGAACTTTTGGTGCACTAAATAATGTAATCAGGATTAAGCAAAGTAATGCTGTGGTGAAATGTCACAACTTAATATTTTGAGCACTAGCAGGCTGTTACTGTGCAGAGATAATTTAAATTGTCTGTGGTTCCTGAAGGTTTTTGATGGTCATGTTATTAAAAGTGATTTAATTAAGCTGAAGATAATATATTTTACATGTTAAAAATGTTCATAGTCTTTTGGTTAATAATAATATTTGCCTAATCCATTTATCAGTGCTTTGCAAACTGTCTTTCATCTTCTTAACTGGTTCCCTCCAAACATGCAAAGTAATTTTCATCTTAAAAAAATTCATAATTTTATTTGTGAATTTGCATGTTTCTAATTCATGAGGCCATCAGGCTTGCTTGTAGTATTGCTGCTTTATATTTGTACACTTGTGTATACACAGCATATGCCTTTTCTTTTATTGGCATGTGCCCTTTCAAGAAGAGCAAGAATTTATATTACCATCAACAGTTGATGAAGATTTTCTGGAACCATTATCACTTGTCAGTTTTGTCAATTTCCTTATTTTTGTCTTGTCTGGAAGCTCAGAGGAGGAAAAAAACATAGGTGGGTTTTACACACCTGTATATATATATATACACACATACATTTTTATGTATATATATGTATGTATGAGGAGCTTTTGCACAGCTTACTCTTAAGAATTAGACTTCTAACAGGCTGAGAGAGGAGGACAACAAACTCAGTGTGTTGTTGCTACCACAGTGAATGCACTGGGCTATTGTGTTGAGGCCCCGGGGGAGTAAAGAGGATTGAGATCTTGAGGAATGTGACCATCTTTTTTATTAGCACCTCATTTTGCAGTAACTTAAAAGTGAGAAATTTCAGCTTTGTTGGCAAATAGTTATTGGCAAATCTGACGCTATTTGTTGTATATGGCTCTCACAGAATATTTACCATGTCTTACATTTTCTGAAAGGGTTTGGCAAACATAAATTCGAACTCATGAAGGGTTTGGCGAACATCAATTCAAAGTCATGTAGCCTTTCAGATCTTACCTGTGAAAATATTTCTCTCTCTCAATCTGAATTTATGTAGTTAATTTGCTACAGCACTGGAATAAATGTGATCATCACCAAAAATGTAATTTAAACTCCTAACTTATATTAGTATTTGATTCCTAAAAGTACTGTTTTGTAACTTGATAGAGGGGTTTGTCTCATTATTTCAGAATGATTTTGTTTTATTTAGTTTGGTTCAGTCAGCAGTCAGTACAATTCTGAAATCTCAAGCTGTAAGGAAGTTGAACCTTGAACTTAAGTATGTGAGTATAATCATGAGAGGAATATTTTTGTCTCTCAGTTACAGCATCCTAAATGCATTACATGACATGTATATATCCAAATTGAATTCAAAATTCCAGTCTCTTGGGTTCATGTTTTCATCTCTAGGAATTTATATCTCTTCTTAGATACTGACTTGATAAAATGGTTAAATTCAACTTATGGTATTTTTACAAAATAGTCTGCTAGTAGTTTAAAAAAATGGTAAGGAATTTTAAAAAATGTAGACAGCATTCTAGTGTATAAAAGCATCAAATGATAAATAGTCAAAAGTAAGCATTTTAGATTATATACTGATAGAATTTTTAGTTGTTAATGAATAACTGAGAGAAAATAGGGCCCAGTGATATATAAAGACAACTCATCCACAGAAGTTAAAAAAAAATTATAGTAGCAATGCCTGAAACATAGTTTTTATCTTTGGCTAAACTACGATCTTTTAAATAGTATGCTTCTTTTGTTCTAAAGAAGTTTTGATCAAAACTGTATTTTGGCTGTTCTGAAATGATCTATTGCATATTTTCTGGTTACATTCTCCCTTTATTGATATTTGCCTCATAAACTGCTGTATTGTTTTGTTATGTTTTTAATAGCATGGAAAAATTGAGTAAAATTTTGTAGTGTTCCTTATTGCTTGATTTATTTTCATTTTCCTCCTTTTTGCATTGAATAACAGCTATTAGCCGGGATGATAGCAGAACCTGCTTTTCTCTCTGAGTATACTATCTTTGCTTTGGATCCCACCAAACAGCCTAAGCCACAGAGTGACGGTGTGGTGAGTCCTCCCCACCCCTCTTAGTGATGCCTTTAGCAGGTGGAGGAGGGTAATGTACTAGAAGGCAAACTTACTTGCTTGTGGCTTGTTCTCACAAAGACCTCTGTCTTGACTGTCTTGTTGCTAACCCTGCACTAAGTTTCACAGAGGTAGTAGCTGATAGCTCCTGGCTGGTATGCTAGTATGATGTGAATTTATTGTAATGTAAAAAAAAATTAACATATTTTTTCTTATACATGCAACAATACACAAATTTAAATAACTGTTGCTCAAGTATGTATGTGTGTTGCATAGAAATTTCCTCTTCATATTTATGTATGTCTGTATGTATTTCAAGATAAATGGATAGAATTAACATTGGGATTGGTTATGTGTAAAACTTACATGCTATTTGCTGTATATGGTGAAATGGAGCATGTAATTTACTTCTAATGGTAGCAGGAAATAATTATTTCACATGGACACATAAATTAATCTACATCTAGTTGATAACCTGGCAGTTATTATTGTGAGGATGAATAGTCTTTTTTTGGTAGTTAGGTTTTACTTTAAATATATGTTTCTTTGCCTGGAAATGTTATCTTCACTATATATAAGTGGAGGAGCTCAGTGAGAGGAGGCAAGAAATGAAGAAAAGGAAGCAGGCATAGGGAGGAAGTCAGACTTCTGCTTTCTGATATAGGCACATAGAAGCTGTGTTCTTACTGGCACAGGACAGGAATGTCATTTTTCACATGCTTTAGAGGCACGGCATTCCCAAGTCCATAAGTGATTTAGAACACAGCAATTTTTAGAATCCCATCTCCTTGTTATACTTCATGATTACTTTGTAAGTACTCTTTTCCTGCTCATGCTTTAAATCGACCAGTCACTGAAAGCTATAACAGGATCAAAATTTAATAACCAGGAGATAGTACAACACACTTCTTGGACTTGTCTCTCTCAAGCTAAACAAGATTGAACAGAAACAGTGGTTAAAATGGTGGTCCCTGGAAAGTGTATTCTGACCATATTCCAGGTCCAGCAATAATTATTTAAAGAGTCACTGCAAACTTAAGTAAACTTTGTTAGTTTTCACTATACAACAGAATTACCACCAAAAAAAAATCATTTCACATAACTGTTTGTGTGAATGCTCCAATGTTGTCTTTATATGATCTTTTAGTATGTACTTCAGTGGCATATTTTCTGGATCACATATTTATATGCAAGACTGCAGTAATGAAACAGTTATTGTTAATGTGTTACCAGTGTGTATTAGTATGTTAACTGTAAAACTCATTTTGTTCTCTGAACTTCTTGAAAATTCTAGAGCAGTACTCAGAATAAGAACTGGAAGCGGGAGAAAATGATGGAAAATTTTATAGAGAATAGGATGACTGATTCAAAAAATATATTAAAGAAACACACACATTATATATGTTTATAAAAGCTAGGTCCAGTAAAAATGCAGGAGAGGAAAGTTTCACCAACATCCACAAATGCATATTAATTCTGCTAAAACAAAACAGTATTTTAGCTGTAGATGTGATCTGAGAGTGAACAGCATAGAAAAGTGACTGTAACTGTGGATTTTTTGGGCATAGATGAAGTTAGTATAAACTCTTTACTAGCTAAGCTGCAAAGGTTTTGTGCATGAAAAAGCAGTTTAAAATATTCTTGGACACAGTGGATTTTTTTTTAAAGAAAACATAAAAGGAAAATGAGGGAAGAAAACATTAAGCTCTCCTTCCTTTCTCCCTTCATAATTACTCAGTTTTGGAATACTTGAGAAAGTATTACTGTTAAAAGCAGTAAAATGTTTCTAAATAAAAGCATTTAAGCTTTCACTTCTCAGGCTTGGTAATCTGTTTATACCTTTAAGAAAAAAGTATGCTTTTGCATTTGAGAAATAAGGAAGTAAGGTGACACAAAGGTTACTGGAACACTCTACTGTGCTCCAGTTGAAACCCAACTCTTAATTTATACATCTTCATAATAAAAAGCAACATTTTTTTTAGCTATTGTAAGTATAGCTGTCTTTGGATACAGATATGGATGTTATGTTCTGTGAATTTGTGGAGGAAAAAATTTTATTGGTCTCCAGAAACCCTGATGTAACTGCTGGTTCTAATACTTTCAGAATGGCTGCTTGTGCTCTGTGAGTCTAATTTTGCTGAAAGCTCTCTTCAGCCTTATGAAAGACCTGGGCTTTTAAGCTTTTCAAAGCCTCTTGGATCTATACTTATATATAGCAACTTCCATTCATGCTTGCCATTCAGTGTGTAGATACCCAAATACAGTCCTTTGCCCTAGAGCACAGTGATGTAGGCTTTCAGTAGCGAGATACCTTTGGTGGTCCTTATTTTATATGAAAGATTACTAGTGTATCCCTTTTATTATTTATGCCAATAGAAAGTGTAACTCCAAATATGGGTTATTCTTTTGTTCCCATAGATTGTGTACAAAGATGCCTGCATAATGACTAGGAAACTTTTAAAAGTGTCAGCACTAGTTTAGCTTTGAAATTGCATTTTTAAGGATCCTTATAGGTCCTTAAATGGTAGCTTTTCGAAGCATCTTCACAGAAAGAAACAGCATCCATGGGTTTTATATTCATAAAACCCTTATTAAATTTAATAAATTACTTAATCTTGTGTTTTAAAATATATGTTAAATATTATTAATTACATGCACAAACACCCCAGACTTTCCTTGAACTCTTTTTTATGTGTATCGGAATACCTGATTTTTGAAAGAAGTGTATTTAGTTTGTAAGTCACAGAATCACAGAATTAAGTAGGTTGGAAAAGACCTCTGAGATCATTGCGTCCAACCAATGATCTAACACCACCTTGCCAACTAGACATGCCACTAAGTACCACATCGAATCTTTCCTTAAGTATCTCCAGAGGTGGTAACACCACCACCTCCCTGGGCAGCCCATTCCAATGCCCAATCACTCTTTTTGTGGTGTCTTGGTAAAGTGTTTGTCTTCCTCTGTTGTCAGTCCTATAGTAGCACAGCAGATGCTTTGTAAATTATAAAGCAGAAGATAATTTTTATTTGAATTATCTTATTATTAACTTTTTCTTTTAGGAGAAAAACCAAGAACAGGTAATGGAGCCAAGTATACAGTGTAGAAGTGCTTCAGTTTAAAACCTGTGAAAACTGTTAATCCACTGGGAACAAATCCACTGCCACAGGATAGTGTTCTGAAGCAGAATTCAGATTTTGTTCAATCTAGGTGAAGCACAGTTTCCAAGTCCAGACCTCTTTTGTTTTGTCTGCTTGTGGGTAGCTGCTCAATTCTCTGGTTTCCTTAACTATCTGGATTTCTCTTTGTTGTGTGTTATTTCTGTACTATCTCAAATTTGCTCCATGTCAGACCTTTTTGAAGCTCTTTTATCATTCCTCTGCTACATTAATGTTCAGGTGTGCTTATTGACATATCCAGAGTAGAAGCTGTGAGTGTGATCATGTAGGAGAGATATGTATACAAGGATCATTGTGATTGAGATTTCAGTTCTATGTATGCCTTAGATTTTGCAGCTTGTATGTAACTGTCAAGATACAGCTTAATTAAAAGTTAAGAGTTATGCTGCTCTGAGGCGAATTTACCCATATTTTGTTTGACATGCCTCAGTGTTTTACTTCTGTTGAAAAAATCCATGCCCAAGATGGTTTCTAGCATATTCTGGTAATTCAGTTGGACTGGGTTTATACAGCAAAATAACATCTGGATTTGTGTAAGTTAGAATCATAGAATGTCTTGAGTTGGAAGGGACCCACAAGATTGACCCAAGTGTCCTACTTCTGTACCTGCACAGTACAGCCCGAAGAATCACACCATATTCCTAAGAGTGTTGTCCAATCACTTCTTGAACTGAGACAGGTTTGCCTGTTCCAGTGCCCAACCACCCTATGGGTAAAGAACCTTATTCTAATATCCAACATAATCTTCCCTAACAGAGCTTCATGCCATTCCCTTGAGTCCTGTTACTGGTCACCACAGCTCCTGCCCCTCCACATCCCCTCATGAAGAAATTGTAAACTGCTATGAGGTCTCCCCTCTGTCTCCTCCATGATGAGCAAGTCAAGTGACCTCAGCTCCTTGTACAGCTTCCCCCCAAGGCCCTTCATCATCTTTGTAGCCCTTCTTTGGATACTCTCTAATAGCTTTGTATCTTTCTTGTATTGTGGCACCCAAAACTGCACGCAGGACTCGAGGGGAGGCTGCAGCAGTGCAGAGCAGAGAGGGACAATCCACTCCCTTGCCTAGCTTGTGATGCTGTGCCTGATGTACCCAGGACACGCTTGGCTCTCCTGGCTGCCAGGGCAATGCTAACTCATATCCAACTTTCCATTGACCAGGACCCTCAGGTCCCTTTCCATGGTGCTGCTCTCCAGTGTCTTGTTCCCCAGTCTGTCCATACAGCCAGGGTTGCCCCATCCCAGGTGCAGAATTTGGCATTTATCTTTGTTGAATTTCATATGGTTGCTGATTACTCAGCCCTCTAGTTTGCTGAGGCCCCCTCTTCCAGGGCCTCTCTGCTTTCCAGGCAGTCAACAGCTCCTCCCAATTTAATATCATTATCAAACTTAGTGTACCTTCAAGTTCCACATTCAAGTAATTTATGAAGATGTTGAAGAGCACAGAGCTGAGGATGGAGCCCTGTGGAACCCCACTAATGACATCTCACCAGTCTGATGTCACTGTAAAGCTTTAAGCCCAGCACATGAACCAGCAGCTCACACACTACATGATATGTTTATCCAGCTGTATGCTGAATATTTTGTCCAAGAGGGTGCTGTGAGAGACAGTATCAAAGGCTTTACTGAAATCCAAAAAGATTACAAGTGGCTTCCCTTGCTCATCTCAGTGGGTAACCTTGTAATAAAAGGAAATCAGATTTGGCAAGCAGGAGTGTCCCCTTGTGAACCCATTACTGGTTGTGACCAAGGATTTCTCTGTCTTGAAGCTGTTTTTCAATAACTCCCAGAAAAATCATCTCCATAATTTTACCAGTCAATGAAGTGAGACTAAGAGACCTGTAGTTTCCAGGGTCATCCTTCCTGAAAATTAGGAATGGGTTAGCAAACACCTGAACACAGGACACAAGAAAGGGAGGATAAACAGGCTAGGAACAGAAATGTCTAAACTCTGTAAAAAAAACCAAACCCAAACTAATAAAAAAACCCCTAAAACCCAAACCAACCAACTCCAGACTATTGTTTTTTGTTGTATTGGTTTTGTTGTTTTGGATGAAGTTTTTTATATGTGTGCGTGTGTTTTGTTTTCCATTCTGTGGGAATGCAAAAGTTTTGTTAAAGATATATTTTTTGAAAGTCTAATTTTGTTTCCATGCTTGTTGGAGTTATAAACAGTTTATTACCTGCACTTCTTTTCCAGGTAGTTTCTGCCCCCCCAATGCACTGAAACAGAGAAAGATGGTGTTACAGCCAACTCTTACTCATATTGGCTATAAATACTAGTAATCAATTAGACTTTTCCTGCTATAATTTTGTCTTTTTGGTGTGTCTTTGATTTGTCCATAATGTTATATAAATAATCATTATGACTTACTTAATTGGAGATGCCCATATTTGCAGATGTCTCATACTAATCCATGTGCACATAGCTGCTTTGTAGTTCTGCATATTGCAGCAATCTGTTTTGAATTTAACAAGCTAGCTTGTTTGCATGAAGACATCTTAATAAGCTTTCTAAAGAAGGTACTAAAAACAGAGGCAAAGAAAAAAGCACAAATGCTGTTTCTAGGAATCACTGAATTACAGTCCTTGTACTCTGTTTCTTCTAACAGTTGTTTTTACTTCCTGTAGAACTTGAATAAACAATCACTTCCTGGATCCACAGAAAACAATGGAAGTGAACCTGTTTCTCCACAGGTATGTGGAGGGCATGAGGGGTTTGTTTCCTCCTTCACTTCTGTGTTGTCTTTGTGTTACATTGGTTTAAGTGTCCACTATTTCTCTTCATGCTGAAGTAGGGATAAGTAGTGCCTGTCAGGATGCTCAGATATTTTGTTTGTGTGTAATCACATTTGCTGGTATTGTCACTGATGTGTGGAGCTTTTCTTTTTGTAAGGACTGGTTAGCAGACTGCCAACGTTGAGATGCATCTTGTTGTACAGCATTAAACTCACTTTCAAAAGTAGAGGGCTTATTGCATGTTTGGAAAGCTGAAGGAAAAGAAATTATAGGTTGAAAATTATGTCATTAGTAATAAAGATGTAGGTAATTTTTTAATATGTCTTAGGGAAACATTTAGCTTACTGAAGTGGATTAGCAGTGGCTTCTGGCATATGCCTCCCAACATTTGATTGTAGAGGGAACATCATGCAGTAATGCTTTCACATCACTTCTGTAGCACCAGCAGTAAAGGTTGTACCACAGCACAGAATCTTTTGGTATAGAATGAAGTATGTACTATCGCAATAATTTTGTTTTATGTAAAAATCGTAAAGTCATTTAAAATAAGAAAAGGACTGTTCAAGACAGCTTGCTAGAACTATCATAGAAGGATTTCTACCATTAATTTGTTCTCTTTGTCATAGGAAAGTATCTATGTGTTTGAGATAAATGCAGTCTTCTGTGTAACACATTAAGATGTGAGTCAGTTATATTTTTCAAGTTTGAGACAATAAATAACCATTTATATTAGTTACACATTCCTCACTTTTTAGAGGGATTACACAGAAATGTATTCTCCTAAAAGTTTAAATCAGAGCTGTAGTTTATTAGACTTAGTTGCTATCTGAAATTGTGCACATCTGGTAGTTGCATGCTTGATTTTTCTGCACAAGTAGGTGATTCTTCTAAGGGACTAGCAGCTATTTGGTGTCATGCATGTCTTAGACAACAGTAGTTTCTTTGCACAGGTCATGTATCTTTTGTGGACTTTAGTGTGTCTGTCTGCCTAAAAGCAGTGCAGAAATAATTACTTTCTTTCAATTTTTGCAGCAAAGTGACAGTCAGTCTTTTGCCCAGAGGCTTCAGCTTCGAGTTCCCTCCATGGAGTCTTTGTTTCGAAGCCCAGTAAAAGAGACCCTATTTCGCTCTTCTTCTAAAGAGTCCCTAGTCCGGAGTTCTTCAAGAGACTCACTGAATCGACTAGACTTGGAAGCCCTTAGTCCCACCTTTGATTCACCTTCTGACATTGAAAGTGAAACTGAAGAGCCTCTGGGAAATATGGACACCTTCAGCAAAGAGCAGTTGCTGCAGCGTCTGCATAGAATGGAGCGCAGTTTAGGCAACTACAGGGGAAAATACTCAGAGGTAGGCAATGTGACTACCTGTGGTTTAGCTCTGCAGAAAGGGGAAAGAGATTAGGCTAACAGACACTGCAGCAGTGGACAATCTTTTTGTTTTCCTATTTGGAGCAAATGTTTCAATTTACAGCCAACACGGAATTAAATTATTCTAAATCTAGTTATTTTTGACCTAAAAAGGTTAAATGTTTTTCTGGAAATAAAACATGGAAATCTTTTTCTTTTCTTGTTTGTAAATAATTTCCTGATGCCAGAAATAGAGGTTAATTAATGGTTACTCACACAGAGCAGGCCTGTTAAGATTTCAACTGAGACCATCTAGCAGGGGGTGAAGTTCACTACAGAGATGAGTATGATTTGTACTCCCATGACAGCAAATTTTTTTTTTCCAACTTGTTCTTGAAATGCACAGTGTATATTCTAGCCATGTGCAATAGGCAAGCATTTTGTTTTCAAGAAACAAGTTCTGTTCTTCATAATTTCTAGATATTCCCTGTGAGGAATTGATTCAAACATCTTGATTTTTTTGGTATATTTTAGTGAAAACCAAGTATATAAGTAGTTTCACTGCTCATTTTCCAAATTATTGGGGAAGCTAAAGCTGTCAAATGGAAGGTGGTGTTTTGGTATTGGGTTTTTTAATTAGTTTTGGGTTTTGTTTGGGTTTTTAAATTGTTTTGTTAAGTGTGTGTTGTATTTAAAACTGGATGTTTGTGCTGTTTTTTACAGTTCTTTTAATGTTTGCTGCCCTCAAATACAAAAATTCCTGTGCAGACTTTTGTCAAAATTCCTGGAATCTAAAATATGTATACAGTGACTGCAGTATTCAGCATATGCCTGAAAGAGCAGTTCTCACAGTAATTTTTCCTTCACTTCCAGCTAGAGTAATAAGTATTTTTTTAAGTTTATGTAAATAGTAGTTGCTAAAATGAAAATTTTTCAGTTTGTGGGTTTGTTTTAGTGCTTTTTTGGTCATTTGGGATTTTTTTTATTAGTGTAATCTGTCCACCAAATCCCAACTTTCTGTGTCAAAAAGGCTTGAGGTTTTTTCCTGGTTTTGTGCGTTTCTTCAGTTCAGTTGAAAATAATTGTTTTGCTGGGGCTTGGAAGAAACTTGTTGCAATATATAGTGAGTAATTAAGGCAGAAATATTTTTTCCCTCTTAAAGTAGGATGCACACTTAGCATCTCAAAAATATGGTAAAGGAAACCACCCATAGCAGTTTTGCTTTTCTTATGAGGTCAAAATAAATATCACTTTAAAATTAAAATGAATTTTGAATTCTGAAAATGTTTAGTTCATTTTAAGTTAGAATTTGAAGATATATTTTGACTTTCTGGTTTCAGTGTTCTAGATTCATTTTTCTTAAATTTTTCTTCAATTTGAAAACACAGTGTTCGAACTGCCATTATGCCATTATGCTACTTTAACATAATGCTACTTGGCAGTTGTAATCAAATATTTAAGTTACTCCATTTGTCAGCTTACAGTGAGAAAAGAAATATTGTCTACTTTCAATCTGTCTTTGCTGGATATATGCAAAGCATATGGGATGAGAGCATTGCACCTTTTTTTGTTAAATTTAGAAATGTATTTTTTAGTACACACTTTTTGTAAAATTATTTTTGCTTAATCTCCCTAGGACATGTACTCTACAGGTGGTCACCCCTGTGGGGTAGCTGTCTGAGATGTAACTTTCTGATACTGTTGGGTTTGACCCCCCTATGTTGAAGGATGGTATGTGGTGTGTTGTCTCAGGGAAGGGAAAAGTGTGTATGAATGCTGAGTAACAACATTGTTTTGTGATGTAGGCTTGTATTTTTTAACACATTTGAGATATTTTATAGATACATAAAGAAAACTTCAAGAAAATTTAAGTATATTTATATCAAAAGAAAGTACTGAAGTGGAGCAAAGAGTTTGAAAATGCAGGTGTTGATACAACTAAGGAGATTATTTTGGTGGCTATATGCAGACATATTGTCATCTTTATATCCGATTTGTTTATTTTAGCTAGTGTCTGCTTATCAAGTTATCCATCGGGAAAAGAAGAAGCTACAGGTAAGCATTACTTTTCATGCTCTCTTACCTGCGTCCTTTTTTCAATCTTAAAATGTGTAGTGACAATACAGATTTAATTTTCAGTGTGTTGTATGTAACAGATGATGGTTTCTTAGCTGGGATTTCTAAGGAAGCCAAGGTAAAATTAATTTGTCCAAATAAGTGTGAAGCAGTGTACTCCAGCCTTTTTTGTTGCATCAGCTGACCTCAGGTGATAGATTGATAGATTGCCAACCCACAGTTGGTAGTTTATGACAATACTTGCGTATCAAGTGTGACTTGAAAGAGAATCAAATAATTACATGAATTTTTAAAATTTATTTATCCATTTTAAAATTACATTTAATACACCTGATCTTTATTCTTCCTTTCTTTTTAAGAGCATTCTGAGTCAAAGCCAGGATAAAGCACTTCGCAGAATTGGAGAACTGAGAGAGGTAAATTCCTTTACTGATTGCATGTTTACGTTATATCACACCTACAAAGGATCTTTTTCTGCTTAGCTTTTGACTTTTTTGTTTACAAATTATTTTCCATTACAGAGCAGGGTATTTTACAGAGTTTTTGTTGTTTATATGGGGTTACTTGACTGGCTTGCTTCCCATTCAGCAGGTTATTGCTATACTCTTAAGACAAAGTAGTGCATCATGAATTGAACTACTTTTCTTGTTCATTGTGAAATAGGTAGAAGTGTGTGTGGTTCTTGCAGTATTGTTGGACCCAGGCATAGATGTCCCTGTGCATATGTCCCTATTAATGACATATACTAATTCAGGCAAACACAAGTAATAGGCACATTTTTGTAAGGATTTCAGTGACTATCAAAAAAATTAGGATAATTTAAAAAAATTCTTCTTTATTTCAGTTGTAATACTTACATTATTTTATGGATTTTAGTATAGTTTACTTTCAATCATAAAATCAAATAGTTTTTGTTATAATTTGCCTCCTTAGGTTATAGTGAAATTAAAAGGAGAAGCTCTAGTGTATTTGGTATTAATAGTAAACACAGTTGACTTAAAAAACACATATAGATGACAGGGCAGAACAGATTTAAAGGGCAAAATCAAAAACGCCATATTGTCAAACCCTGATGAAGCACAATGTGAAGCTGAAGCCATTTTATTGCCTCAGGAGCTAGCAACACCAGATTTGGAGATGTGCAAGGTGTGCAAGAGCCTCTGTCTGTGTTCTTGCATTGCTGGAGAGCTGGGAACCATTTAGCCCAAAGTCACAGGCTTTGTCTTATGACTGCACACCTGCTTCTGCCATGTGCAATGCTGAGCAGCAGCACTGGCATGGAGGTTGCAGGAGCCATTAGACTGTGGTGAGGTCCCACCTTTGCCTGAAGTTAGACTCCAGGCAGCTGGGTGTTTTACCCACAGACAGGGACCAAGGCCTGTCCACTTCATAATGAGGGATGGTGACTGTGAGCCTCTGTTCATATGTGTACTCAAGGCTCAAGCTCATCCATAAGGACCTATCCCTGTGACTAGTCAGGCAGCCATTCATTTCAAGGGAGGTCAGTGGCAAATTGCTGGGGACTCTTCAATGATTCGAAGAGTGAGCATGCTGTGGGTTATGTGTGCTGGTGGGGTAGCATTTTGGATCACATCTGTGCTGTTTCTGCCCCAGCAGCTGAGAACAGTGGGTCAGTGCTGGGAGTACTGTGTTTGTCTGAGCTATAGCCTGTGTCCAGACTGTCACAATGTCCTAAGCTAAGCTGTCAGTGCATATGAGGGAAAAAAACCATTGCTTTAATGTCTGAATTGGCTTGCCAAGGTTGTATCTTTTCCAGATCACTACAAGCTCAGATAAAAAGCTTTTTCTGTGTTAGGTCCATATCTGCATGCTCTTGTAGGATTGGTTTTCCAGTTTATTGCTATTTGTTGAAATCAGGAACAGAGTTAAATGTGGAAATGAGTTAAATGTTAACCAAATGTGGAACAGAGTTAAATCTTTGGCATATGATAGAATTGGACCATGTGCCTTTTTTTTTTTTTTTTACTTCTGTCATAGTCTTTGTGATTCACATATATAGATAAGTTACACATGTATTTCTGTGTTATATATTTGTATATGCATATATTGTGTAAAATTTAATTTCATTCTTACCAATCTTGTAAATTTAAAGATTCCTTCAAATCTAACACTGAAATTCTTTTTCATTAATTGATACACTTCAAAAAGTATTTTTCTGATCTTTTGGAAGCCCAGGTCTTGCAGCATTAGGTAAAACAGACAACGAAGGAAAAATTACAAATAAAATGGTAAGTTTCCATTGTGGAAGCTAACATGGTCCAAAGTAGTTCATTCATTGATGTAGTAATTTGTTATCAGAAATTAATTATAATAATTTTTTCTTCATCATACAATCCATTTTTCCCATAAATATGTTGAATCAGGCAAGTTTCTTCTAAGAGGGCCATGTATGAGGAAACAAATCTTCCTTTGAGGCTAAGATAACAGTGTGACACAGTCCCTGGAAATAAATGTGGTTTTCCTTAACTTGATTTACTCCTGTTAGGAATAATTCCTCAAAACCAGTCTTAAAGCAATCTTCAGTGTTCTCCTTCACAGAAAAGGATCAGAAGGGACTCTGAGATGCAAAGAGGACCATTTCTGTGTTGATTTCAGTAAATCTCTTTGACACTTGTTCTCACACTGGCCTGCTTTGCTTCGTTTGAAAGAAATTGCTTCTAAAGCTCAGAAGCACAGGGCAGAAGTGTGATCAGCAATTGCTGAGAATATGAGGCAATGCGGTGTTGAGAAGTGGATATAATTGGAAAGAGAGTAATGTTTTTTTCAGTGATGCTTTCCCTCACCATCGTGCCTGTGCATGGCAGGGCAGGCTCAGCTCATACAGCTGTGGTTTTCAAAGCCGGTGTCAGCCTCATCTGTGGCAGGGCATTCACTGTTGGAGGTAAGGGATAGACAGCAACACAGCATAAAAACAAGATTTAGAGTTGAAGGAAAGCAGCGCAGGAAGCATCCAGTGCTCTGTTTTGTCTCATTTGCTTTTTCATCCTTTCTTTCTCTTTCTGTCATCCTCTGTCTTTGCCCGGCTAATGGAACTCACGTTTATGGGTGATGATTGCTGTTATACAAGTGTTCTTTGCAGAATAATAGTCATAGAAGCATTCTTTTCCTGGAGTAAATCATGGGGAAGATATCTATAGATGAAATAAATATATAAATAAAAAAGATTTAAAAGTTTCTGAAAATATTTTCAGTGCATGCATGATGTATTTGTGGTTCTGGTTCTCTGAATAAACAATTAGATGTGAATTAATTTAGGTACATGTATTTTCTATAAGAATGATAATTATTTAAAGGAATTTAAATGTTTAAACCCTGAAAGCAGAGGAAGTAATTGAAAAAAAACCTCCTTCAGGAAATATGTTATAAGACTGTGTAGGTATTACTAAAGAATTTAGGCAATATCTACAAGCTTCTAAGAGTGTTCAGCCAAACAAATGCATGTAAGTATCAAGTAAAGCCACATACTTAAATTATTTGGCATTCTCTGCCTTTCTCATTTGAGACGTGTGTGGAATAAAAAGACAACTTTCTTCTCTTACACATGGCATTTGTCATTTTAGAATGGTGGCATGTTGAATGAACATAATGAATTTTACATTTATTCTCTTTATGTTGGCTTAATCTGGTGGCAAAATGAAGACTCGTCCAAAATGCAGTCTTCAGCTTCCAGGAGACGTGTGCATGGAAGATGGTTTTTCAGGAGCAGGCTTGAAATGAACCCCATACAAACTTATATTTAGGAAAAAGAATCCTTGATAATTTTCCATCAGATCTAGATTCTTGCTGTTTTAATCCTGGTTTTATAATTGGATGTTCTTGCTATATTGTGTGGAATATTGTATAGTAAAAAAAAATGCACACTTTACGGTTGTATTTTGGGATCACAACTATGAAAGAGATATTATAGATGCTATTTCATAAGTCTTTTGAGTTCACATTCATCGAGTTCATATTCATTTGAGATGTGTTTGTATTATCAGGAACTACAGATGGATCAACAAGCTAAGAAACATCTCCAAGAGGAATTTGATGCTTCCTTAGAAGAAAAGGATCAACTTATTAATGTTCTGCAAACTCAGGTAAGATAATTTACCCAGCAGATGTTGATTAAAACTGCTCTTCTTACCTTTTCTTTATAGCTATATATTTCCTATGATGCATATCCATGTTTTATTATAATTGCTCTGAAGGTGTTTTATTATAATTGCTCCTTGTATATTTAGGATTTTCTGGAAATTAAGTGTGTCTTTGTGGTAGAGGATACCTTTGTAAAAATCTCACTAATGTTAAATAGGATTGGCTGATTTGCATTTAGATACCTTTGTGATGTTTTTGTTATCAAGACATCAACATTAGCAGACGTCTGACCTAAGATTGCTTTTGCAAAATTCATGTCTTTTGCTTAATTGGTCTTTGTTTTTCTTCTCATAGTCATTTTACTTTTGTTAATTGGAAGCATAATTCTGACTTTTAAAAAGTGGTAAAAAAATTCAGACAGATTTTTCCTTTTTCTGCTTGCTAATATCAAAATTAATTTAACTCATTCTAGTTTTGAAGATTAAAAAATTATCTGCTTTGAATCCTTGGATTTTTTTAATAAAAAGAACATTTTGTTTAGGTGTCGTTGCTGAAACAGAGATTACAGAATGGTCAGATAGGCACTGAATTGCCTGATCAAAATGTCCAAACAGAACCACAAGTTCAAAGTCCAACGGAAGAAGTCAGTGCAGAAGATACTGTGGAACCAGGAAGCAATGGTATGTATTGCGGCTTTTTCAAGAGACATTACATTTTGGGGAATAAACCTGTTGTTATTTATGATGGAGTAACAATATTTAGGGCTGACCATGTCATAGTAAGGATATATTTTCTAGAAGAAGACAATTGTTTTGAAAACCATCTGGCAGCTAGAGGAGAGGATAACCCTTTTAAGAAACTAAATTTTCATAAGAATTCAGATCTGGTATGTCTTTCCTTTGTCAATATTGATAATAACATTGTAATTATTGCTTTGTTGGTAGGTGTTCTTACTATCTCAACTTAATACAATTAAGAGATTCTGCCCCCAATAAGTGAGGACATATCCCTGGAGTTTAGAGAGCAGATCAGTTGCCAATCTCTGTTTTGTTGGTTTTTTTTGTTTTGTTTTTTGGTTTTTTTTTGTTTTGTTTTGTTTTGTTTTTGTTGTTGTTGTTTTATCAGAAAAAAAGTAAAAACAAAGATAAATTTTGATATTCCTGCTATTGAATAACCTGAGTGTTCCTCATCTCTGGAGGTTGTTTAAATTAGTGGGATTCTCAGTGTTATATGTGTTTGATTACTGAGCAAGGGACATTATAATGCTGATACATAATAAAAGAGTCTTTCATTGGTACCCTTCATAAAAGGTAGGGTTAAGAACAGAGGTAAACATACATCTTGAAATTATATTTGTTCAGCATCTGCTATGGTTTTTATATGCAGGGATGATAGGAAGTGTCAGGCAAGAGATGTTCTTATCTGGTGCCATGGTTTTTGTACTGCTTAGTCAATAATGAAAAATTGTGATTCAAGATGTTTTCTGTGCGTGAGTCTGCCTCTGGGCTGTAGTGTGCCAGGCATGCACCAATACTCTCCTCCACAGCTGGATAGAGGAGAGAAAATTTAAAGGCGTATTCATGAGTTGGGATAAGGCCTGGGAGAGGCCTAAATACTGTCATTGCCAAAACAGGCTCGAATTATAGATACAAAGCGAATTTGTTACTAATAAAATCAGAGCAGGATAATGAGAAGTAAAATAAAACCTTCAAAACACCTTCCGCACCCCCCCTTCCCAGCTCCACTTCTTTCTCCAGAGGGGCAGGGAATGGGGGTTTATGGTCAGTTCATCACCTGCGGTTTCATCCACAGCTCAGGGAGAGGAGTGTTTCTCCTGCTCCACTATGGGGTCCCTCCCACAGGAGACAGTTCTACATGAACTTCTCCAGCATGAGTCCATCTCATGGGCAGCAACTCCCTGCGAAGTGCTGTAATGTGAGCCCATTCCACAGTCCTCCTCAAACTGCTGCAGCATGGGTCACTCTTCCACAGGGTGCAGTTCTTGAAGGACAGGCTACTCCAGAGTGGGCTTCTCTCTTCCATGGGCCTCCCACAGGGTCACAGTCTCCTCTTGGGTATCCACCTGCTGTGGCATGGACTCCTCCATGAGATCTCTGCATCCCCTTGGTCCTCCATGGGCTGCAGGGGCACAGTTGTTTCACCGTGGTCTGCACTACAAGCAGTAGGGGAAATCCTAGCTCCACTGCCTGAAGCACCTCCTCCTCTTCCTTCTCCATGGATCTTCATGTCTGCAGAGTTGTTCTCCTCACATGTTCTCACTCTGCTTTTCTTTGTCTGCAATTTTAACTGTGTAATAACTTTTTTCTTCTTTCTTCTTAATTTTTCTATCACAGAGGCATTACCACCATTTCTAATTTGCCCATCCTTGACCAGCAGCACATCTGTCTTTGGAGTTTTGCTGGGTATTGGCTCTGCCGAACATGAAGAAAGCTTCTGGCAGCTTTCTGGCAGCTTCTTGCAGAAGCCCCCCTGTAGTTCCCCTTCAACTACTGAAGCTTGGACACGCAAATCCAGTACAATGCCAAATACTCTTGCAACCTCCAGAATATCAGAACAGAAGCACACAGTAAAATACTACCAAATGTGCTAGTTACACAGTGATTCAAACTGAGAGGGAGTAGGTTTAAATTATAGATATTAGAAAAAAATCTTTACTGTGAGGGTGGTGAGGCACTGGAACAGGTTGCCCAGAGAAGTTGTGGCTGCCCCATCCTTTGAAGTGTTATAGGCCAGGCTGGATGGAGCTCTGAGCAACTTCTTCTGTGAGGTGTTCCGGCCTATGGCAGGGATTGGAACTAGGTGATCTTTAAGATCCCTTGCAACCAAAACCACTCTATGATTCTATGAGTGCTACTCAGAAAGACAATGAGTATAACCTTTATCCTGCTGAAAGTAATATTGCCAACCTGGGTATTTTAGAACTAATGTCATACCCAGCTTTGGGAAAGCAAGAATCTTGTGTCCATGGCACTTGAGAGTTGTGATTTTCTTTGCATCACATTTTTTCCTAATTGAGCATATTCTGCTGTTGGTAGCAGCAGGCAGGTTTATAAATCATGATGACTTTTTAGTTACGTAAAAAACCTGGTTGATGAATAGGTTCATTTTGAAGCCAAAAAAGTAAGTGGGGATTTGTAAGCTAAGTTGGTGTTAAATACTCTTTACTACTCTCTGTATGTGTAGAATGTTTCTGGCACTTACAGGAGAAACTAGGAAGTTTTGCAGACTTCACACAACTTTCTTTAGAGACCTATGAGTCCCCTGCATTGTGAATAATGAATGCAGATCTGCATTTTGGAAATGTCATGCATATGGTAATGTTGGTATGTTGTCTTATAGAGAGTAATGAAGATTCTGTTAAAACACTGGAAACTCTTAATCTGAGGGTGAAGCGCCAAGAGAACTTGCTGCAGCGTTGTAAGGAGACTATTCGGTCACATAAGGAGTGCTGTGTCCAGTTAACCAACGAGAAAGAGGCACTTCAAGAACAGCTGGAAGAGAGGCTTCAGGAGCTGGAAAAAATGAAGGTGTGGAAAATTCTCTTAGCTTTATGGGTAACCATGAAAATACAGTAAGAACTTCAGTATTTCTGAAGTTGATAGGGCAGACCATGAAACGAACTGTCTCTGTACTTTTTTGGAGATAAAGGTTCAAAATGCATCTGGAATGAATACACTCAACAATTATTCTAGAGTGGTGAAGTAGGGTATGAAAACTTACTGTATAAATAATCAGAATGATATTAGAAATAAGTAGTTGTGGGAAATTGGGGTGAGAAAAAGACTGTCTTAACACAGAAGACAGAAGGTAAAGTGAGAAAAGTGGAGTAGAGCTAAACCTTTAAGACACAGTGAATGAGGCATTAATTATGTAAATTAAGAGAAAGAAAATGAAGGCAGGACAGTGGTGATCACAATATAGTGAACATAAGTGCAGTCCCAAAGCTAATAAATTAATACTTTGCTCAATTTTCCTTTTAAGGCCATTAATGCTGAGTGTGGAGCATCAGTAAGGAGGCTAATAGTAATGAAATATGAAAATGTGCTAAGTATAGCTGTACTTAACTTTAGTTATGGAGATCAGATTCCTGTCTCTGTCTTCATCTCTGAGCACTAGCCTGGTTTGAAAAAGTCCCGAAAGACTTGAGTGTTTTAATGACATTTTCTAGAACATGGCTAGTAACAATCATTGATACTGCATTGCTGAGATCCTCTTGTAAACCAAGGTGCAGGGAATAGAGCAGAAATCTTAAACATATTTCTTGTTTTACTGTACCAACTCAGACCTCCATGTGTGGAAACTCTAACAAAGCCTTCAGATCTCTGAATTATTACAGAAGCCATAAAGGCAGCCTACCTCTGGGAGACGTAAAAGTAATTTAAAACTGCCCACTTCAGTTTCCCTTTATTGTGTTCTGTGTTGTTCCTCCAATGCATAGTGCATGGTCAGAGCCAAAGCTAAGCTGTTTTTCAACCAACTTGTGGTTGGGATCTTTTTTTAGGACCTTCACATGGCTGAGAAGACTAAACTGATTACACAGCTACGTGATGCAAAGAATTTGATTGAACAGCTAGAACAAGACAAGGTAAACAAAACTGTAGGTTTTGATGAAGATTGTTTAAAACACAAAATATCTAGCTCTTGGTATTAGAAGCTGGTTTTAGTTGTCTGATAGTTTCATCTACGTTTTAATAAACAAGTAATTTAAGCTACTTAATAATTCTATTGTATATATACCATAAGATATGTCTGTTAAATTATACTTAATACTGCAACAAGACATTATATAGGATGAAGCAGGATATGCTGAATACATCCTTCATGCCAATTCTAAAACAAACAAAGAAACCCCAAATACAAATGAAGACGAAATGCAATTAAATTAATTTTAAAATAACCAGTAAAGGAATTGTGCTTTCGATAGACAATAAGGAATTTGTCAGGTTTTCACTCCTTAAAAGTTTTTTAATCACAGTCTTGGTACCTGGAGTAACTTCTGGTGGTGTCATAAGCAACTTGATTAACATTGTATGGTGTATTTTCAAAGGAGAAGTATGGACTCTACAATGCTTTTAGTTTGGGTTTGTTTACAGAATACATGTTTCAAAGGAAAGTGTCTGTACTAGAAGGAGGAAGTTTTAGGATAGCCTGTGTTTGATGGAGTTCTTTTCACCACTAGATAAATTTGGATACTCTTAAAAATATTCCCTATTCTTATCTTCATTTTGCTAGCATTTTCTGTGTTCTGACATAGAAAAATCCTATGATATCTGGTCTCATAATAAGAGACTACAGTTTATTCCTAGAAAGGATTGTGCCCTGGCTTGAAATTGTTTCAGGTATATGTCTTATTTATTTGCTAGCTTTTTATCGCAAGGATCTTTTCCTTAGGGCATGGTAATTGCAGAGACAAAGCGGCAAATGCATGAAACATTGGAAATGAAGGAGGAGGAGGTAGCCCAACTGCGTGCCCGAATCAAACAAATAACTACAAAAGGCGAGGAATTAAAAGAGCAGAAAGAAAAATCTGAAAAAACTGGTAAGAATATACCTAGATTATTTGCTTTCACATTTGTATATCAGAAAGCTTCAGTGTGGTCTTTTTCTACAGTTGTTTTTGGAATGGATATTAAGAGATGCTCTTTTTTCTGTTGTTCTACACATCACCTGTGGTATCATTACTAACTGCATTTATGGACAGCAGAGTTTAGGGATGCTTTTGACTGATTTGTCTGTTACCAATAAAACTGGATTTAGAAAAGAAACTTCTGAAAGGCAAGGGCCTTGTTTGTATGGGAAAAAAATTGATGGAGTATTCATCTGGTCTACCTTAAGAAAAAAAACTTGCAACTACCTATAAATTGTCATTATAATGCTACCAGGAGTTCACATAGAAAACATAGCAGTGAGTGTATAAGAGTTTGTGAAGGAGTAAAAGTTTTATAACCATAGTAAGCATTTTCTTTCAATTATTTTAATGGAAACATTTCTGATTTAAGTGAAATGGCAGTGATGATTCCTTTTGCCTCAGGCTTCTAACAGAGGAACATTTATGTAACTGTTATATGATGTAGTTTGCTTTTTATGGAAATTAGGTAACATTATGTGTGCTTGGAGTTCTAGTTTTGCATGAAATGAAGTTTAACTATTGTTTTTTAAACAGTGAAATTCTTTCATACTACATCAGAATTCTCTTAGAATAATTTAATTTGTTCTCATGGGCATGCAAAGAAGCTCACTGTTTAGGGAAAAGCTCAGGTGTTACTTTGAATAAAATATTACACATACTTTCTTTCTCTAAAAAACAATGAAGAGTTCAAACAATGCAGCTCATAGTGGTTTATTTTAAATCTATATAGATTTAGATTAGAACTTGCAGTTTTAAAGATTAATTTGGATAGATCATTCTGCTGTAATGCAGAAATCCAGCTGGAACATCTGTCTTATGAATGTAACAAACACTTTCATTAGATGCCTTCCTCTCCTGTCCTTTCAAGGTTGCATGTGTCTTTTTAGTTTTGAAAATTCATAATTTAGAAGTCAGTCAGTCCTACTAAAGTTGTATTTTGTTTGGTAGGAAGCTCTTCGTGATTAAAAAAAAGAAGGTGAAGAATCATTTAATACTTCTGTAGATATGAAGTTATTATCACAGTTGTATGCAATAGTGTTTCTTGAGGCAGGAGAAACAATTAAGAATTATTAATGTGCTATCCACACACGCTAATTAATACAGTAATTTCTTCAAGTTTGTCTGGCCAGAAGCTGAAATGATTCTGTAGACAACTGGAAATCTTTCTGTTGTAATGAGAAGTAATTTAATTTGAATGAATATTGTATTGAGTACACTATGCTTTTCTAGGGAAAGATTTGTGTGTTAAATGTGCTCTTTTTTAAACAAAAATTTTAAGTACTTTGGTTGATTTTACAGTGCATAAATATCAACTTTATCTTTGAGTGCATTTATTTGTTCTAGTATTTTAAGCATGCATATATGTGTGTTGGAACCCTTGGAAAATTAGTTAAGACTGCTTTTAAGACGGAATTGTATGGCGACCTTTATTAGATTTTTTTTGTTACATCCTTGACTTAATGCATTCCAAAAATATTGTAATCTACAGTGTTGGTGTGGTTCAGTACAGTTGAACTAAATTATTTGAGAAACCACCTTGCATACCAGGAGAGCATGAAATTACTTTTTAGGCCTCAGCCTTTGAGTTGTACTGGTTTTATGAATTGGGCAATTTCATGTATTTGAGGTCAACATTTAAAGTTCTGCTTTTAGGATAGTTAATATGAGGTGACTTTCATAGAACCACAGAATTGGCAAGGTTGGAATGGACCACAGTGTATCATCTGGTCCAACCTCCCTGCTCTGCTAGGGTCATCATAGACCACATGGCACAGAACCGCATCTAGACTGTTAAATTCTAGATATCTTTTTCTATATAATGGTTTAGTGAAGAACTGAAACCATGGAGTGAAGTAGAAATGTTAATTTCATTTATGTTATAGTAAAATAATAATAAGCATAATACACTTGAGATTTACTTTTGTAGTGCTGCTTGGAGACTAAAAAGTGGTATAATTTTCCATATCATCTTGCCTACAGTTACATCTCTGGCATTTTACTTTGTAAATCAGGACTTTAGTGAATTGCTCCAGTGTTTGATTTAATGTGAATACATTTTTGTGTAATGAAATCATGAAAAGATATGTATGCTTATTTTTTGTTGTGTACAAAACAGTATAAACTGTAATTTGGTCTCCCCAGTTAAGTTCTTTTTGTAGTTAGAGGTGCATTATGTTGAAATCTCTCAGAGCATCTTGTTTTTGTGCATCCACACATGCCAATAAGTGATTCATAGTGCCTTTCCCAAGCCTTGTATGAACAGGACTGGGGTAAAGGCACTGGTTTTTTTACATCACACTTTGGGTACTTGAACTGGTTTCTAAAAAGTAAATTCTGTGCTTCTCAGACACTTCTACTTGAGGTAACTGCAACACATTTCTTTTTTTCCTAGAACAAGGATCTTTTTAGTATTTGTGAATTTCCAGCTACACTTAAGTTTTTCCTCTTGAGATGACCTAGCATAAGTACTTTATGACTTCTCAGGATGCAGATACTGACTTACTAATAGTCTATGAGCAAACAAAGTCTTTAGAGAGCAAATCTTATTTGTAGGCAGCATTTCTATTGCAAGCTTAATTTAACATATACTTTGCACCTTTCTTCAGTGAAAGAAAAGGCTTGGACTGTGCATTTAAAATCCTGCCTAGATGCGCAAATTAGCTATAGGAATGATTTCAACCTTTTTTTTCCAAAATTTGCACTCGATGCCTGCTCTCAGAAATTGAACGTGAATCCCTCCTTTACCAGCCAGTTTACAAAGCTGGTTTGTTTCCTTCACAATGTTTAGCACCAGGAGGCACTCTAGCCAAAGAGAAAAGGTATGCAGCGCCAGCAGAGGAAACCAGAAGGCTTTGCAGTGCAAAGTGTTGCTCTGGGTGGGAGGGGCAAGGTGAAGGGAACCGAGACTGGTACTTTGGAGTGGTGTAGGGAAAGTAGTCAACTGTCCACCACACGTTGTATAACAAAAAAAGGTTTGCAAACCTTGCACGCCTTAAACTCTGCTCAGACTAATTTTTTGTGATTTACATACTGCACAGGAAGGTTTTCAATTTGTCTGGCTTTGTCACATGAATGGGGTTTTGCAAGACGAACCTGAGACTGTTGGTGTGCTTGTTTCTACTTCTGATTTGCTAATATGCCTTTGTGAGACTTCATTCAACCAGTACTTGGTTGAAAGATCTTCCCTGAACAGAGTTCTGCAGGCTGGAGAAGAATGCAGAGGCAGTGCCTTTACTCTCTACATTAAGAGTAGCTATATTTAAATAAAAACATGAACTTTATTTCATGTTTTGATACAAAGAATTAAAATCTCTCACAGATTAAAAGTAACAGTGATAGTAGAAACCACATTCTGTCTGTTTGATGATAGTTTAGCCCTCTGCTGGTTTGAAACTTGATTGTGTCCTGCTACACTAGAATTAACTCCTTTGAATGAAAATATTGTGTTTTGCTTAAGGGCTAAATGTGCCTGAGATGCATATAATTTAACTTTTAGAGACCCAGCTGTGTTTTTGTGAAGTATTGCTTCTTTGTGCTTTCATACCCTCTTGGCTTTTTAACTATCAGCTTTTGTCTAGTTTTTGTATTAGCATCCTGCTTGTGATTATGATGATGCAGCTTTTGTACTGCATGGTTCTCAGCAATTCCATATCAGTAGTCAATCCTATTGTGAACCTGGATCTTCTCTTTGGCTAATCTGTGGGCTATGGCAAATGTATTCTCTTTCCTTTTGCAGAAGGAAAGAGAATACAAATGAAAATAAATGAAAATTAAAATAACATTTTTCTCAAATGAAAATAACATATATGATGCTCAGAACAAGAATCAGAAAATGTGTATGGAAAAGTGAAATAACTCAATGTTCTACTTGCAGGCTTTAGTTTCCAGCTATACTTGGCAAAGGTCCTCAGGGTGGGGTGGATTTTTGTTTTGTTTTATATTTTTTTTGCTTGTTTGGTTCGGCTTTTGTTTGGTTTTGAAAAAATATGATGCTGTAATACTGAATGACTTTGCCAGTTTTGCTTGGCTTTCTTTTGTTAGGACTGAGAAGAGCATCAGGGAAGTCATTACCATTCTCCAAACACAGTTTTGCATTATTCTGCAGTATTCATAATCTACTTCTTCCTGGTGTCGCAAGGGGGGAGAACTTGAGTCCTGTAGATGGCACGTGACAAAATGCCTTCATAGGGCTGTGACGAACTGTGCAAAATAAGGAACTGTAAGCCTTGTGCATGCTTGTGTTACATTTTAGACTGTTTCTGCTTGAAATAATCTCTTGTGATCTTAATTTTTTGTAATAGTTTTAGCATTTAAGCAGAACCAGAAGTGGAATAGTGGATACAGTGGTCTGCTTTGGTATTGCCAGAGTCAATAACAGCCCCATTTTCCTTAAAACATGATTGTTGCTGTGAGTAGTCAGAAAAAGGCTTCCTCAAAAAACAAGAAAATTCCATAGAAGGTCAGAATTTGGGTGAATCCAGTTTTATGGAGTTAAGTTACTTGAAAATATATTTGCAGCGCTGCCTCAAAAGTATAGCCTGTGGTTAAAATCTTCAGTTTTTAATGTTGTCAAAAGATGTGGAATGGAAATTATTGCTCACTTCTCAAATACATGCTTGAATGTCATTAAAGATAATTTCAAAAAAAGCAAAGATTGCCATAGCTGCTGTGAATGCCTAATAACTAATGATGAATCAATAAAACTAGAGATGTGAGAGTCTATTATGATTTTCTTTTGGGAACAGAATTTATTGGAAAAAATCTTAGCCTACTAAATAACACTTCCGCAGTTTTTTTTTTCCTGTTTTCTTGCAAAATAAAGTCCAAGTATAATAGAATAATAAGTCCAGGGTGTAATAGAATAATATACTTTTAGAGGCTTGTGCTCTGATAAATTACAGTTTTGATAGTGGCATTGTGATTTTGAATTTTACAGAGGTGTTTTGCCAAAATTCTGTTCTGCTAAGTGCTAACTGTATAGTAGGATGTTCTGAGACTGGAGTGGTGGAGGTGGTAGAGTGCTGCAACCTTCCCAGAGAAGCGTCTTTAAGAGGATGTCCTGGGTGTACAGCCACGTATCACTCTTGCCAAGTGATTTCAGCTCTTGGGTGATTTCAGCCACGAGCGATACTGAAGGAAGGGACAGAGTCTTCGTATGGGGTTGCACGGAGGGTGTTCATTGAGCTTTTACTGTGAAGGGGTCCAGGGATAAAGAAGTCCTTTCGGCAAAGAGAGCAGGGGTATATATAGGGATAGCAAGGAGTGGGGCAGAACATCAGAACGAATGAGATGAGGGTACAGGGGTGGAACAAGGGGGAAGAGCCAATGGGATACATAGGATCAACACACCGCAACAATGCATTCTGGGGGAAGGCTTTTTTCCTCACCATCACCAGAAGTTGAAGGGTTGTCCCTCCAGGGGTGCGTGGTAAGTTTTTCCCCAGCCGGTTTACCATCCTCCACAGTTTCCCACATTCATGATCCATTCAGGAAAAGATATTTCCCTAACTGAACTCTAGTCTTCTGTAATTCTGTATAGACTATGACATCAGTTGTAGTGAGTTTTAGGGGTATTGAATAAATAAACAAGCTCACAATACTGGAATTTATTTGCTTTCTTTTTATATCTAAATTATCATCTGTGTAGTGAATAAAATATGTTAGAATACTTCTCCTTAGCATGAGATGAAGCTGTGGAATTATTGCTTTTATTTTGTAAATTAAAATGTGTTTCAGTGGATTTGTGCATCCTGAGCAACAGTAAATAAATCTCAACACTGCAGCTTGAGTGTTCTTTTGAAACAACTTAGAGCTATTCAAGTTTTCTAGGAGCAATTCTTAACTTTTAATTTTTTTATTTTTACATCTTATTTGTGAAGTTAGAAGTGCCAGACAGTCAGCTCCTACGCTGATAGAAGTGTACATTAAATGTAAATAGTGAGATAATGAAATTGGCAAAGTCATCTCTGTGGACTCTATAAAACACAGTTTAAAGAAATGATTCTCTGGGTTTTGCTGTTTGGAATTACTCTTAGGTATATAAAGTGCCTGATATTACTGGTGTTCTATTCAGGAGAAGCTCTTCATGACCCGCTAATAACTGACTTGCATAGTAGTCATTCTTGTTTTGTTTTTGTCTGCTTGTTTTAGTGTGAATTACCTTTCTTTGTGCAGCTATTTTCCACTTCTTCAAAGTTTACTCAGCAGGTATAGGCAGAAGAGGAGTGTTATAGTTCATTCATTAATATGGTTTATGCATTTTATAGTGATTTTAGGCAAAGAAGTAAAAGCTACGGGATGTATTGGAAGAAATTCACATCTATTTGTCAGTTCTATTTGCTTTCTAGAAATTAAACATATGAATTCTTGATGAATTCCTAAGTTCATTCTTCTCTTTTTGTGAAATTCTTCTATCAAAATATATAGATATTTCTCAATTATCGTATACATTTTTTTTCTTTACAGCTTTTGAAGAGCTTGAGAAGGCTGTAAGTATTGCCCAAAAGACAGAGGAAGCCCGGAAAAAACTGCAAACAGAAATGGAGGAAAAAATTAAAGCAGTAGAAAAGGCAAGTGAAGAAGAGAGAGTAAATCTTCAGCGGGAATTAACCAGAGCGAAACAAGAGGTGGTTGAGATTATGAAGGTAAAAACTTTATTACAGTTGAGCCATTGTTGTAAAATATATCAGTATGACAGAACTGTGTTATTAAGCTCTTGCTAGTTAATAAAACCCATAAAAATTATTTTCTGTGATTAAAGATTTACTTAATGAAAAACAGTAAAACTCTTCATAGGTGTTTTTGCTTCAGCAGTTTAAATCAGTAAATTAATGGCATGTAAAAATAAATAGTATTACTCTTTGCTTCGCAGTATTTAATAAAATTGTTTATGAGAAGTGTACTTGAGACTTTAAATAGAGACAAGAAGACATTAGTGGCAGGACGTTCACACATCTCCACCAGGATCTTGGGTTTTAATCTCTTTTAGCTTTTAATCATTATCCTAGCTGAGTATGTGCAAATGTTTAAGAACTTATTGCCATATTGTTTGTGGGTTAAAAGTTTCTATAATTTGCTACATTTGGTGTATTTAGGTAGGAATTGCTGGAACACTTCACATGCTTTGAAAAGCTGTAAACACCCTTAAGTTACAGTTCTTGTAATGACATTCACAATGGTATTAATTTTTGTAAGAGAATACACTGATGCTTTAAAGGGACCACTGACATGCTTTACATTATTATTAAATAAAGCACGTATGTAGGTTATAGATAACTGTCTACATAGAGTATCACCGCTTGATTTTCTGGCTCATAAAATAAGAATACTGTGAAAGCTACAAAAAAGTTCCTTTTCCAATGTATTATCATGTTTGAACTGAAAACACCAAGTTTGCCTTAGAAGAAGAGTCTTTAGAAACTGTGGTGTTTCCTTTAGTACAACTATGAAAGACTTGAGAAGGAAGATGGATAACTTCAAGTTTGAATGTAAGAACTGTCAGGACTTAATATTAAGCACTCCAAGTGATCATAACTTATTCAAAGGCAGCAAAGAGATGGTTCCAGTTTCTTCTGTCTGTCTGCACTATTTTCGTATTAGAAAAAATAGAAAGTGTTTTGTTAGTTAATATTTTGAAATCAGTTTTTTCTGACTTTGATTCACAGAAATCTTCAGAGGAACGAGTTGCTGAACTAGAAAAAATCCATAAAAAAGAACTGGCTACCAAAGATCAGGAGTTAAATGAGAAATTACAGGCTCAAGAAAAGGTATTCCAGGAGAAGATGAAGGCAGCTCTTGTAAGTAAACCTAAAATGCATAAAAAGACATTTCTCTAAGTGTGAGTTGGGATTAGAAGTCTTGAGTTGACACTGTTCCACAGTGAGAGTCCTCCAGTGCTCAAAGATAGGAGGCTTTCCAAAAGTCAAATAGCTCAGAGACTTCAGCAACATGAAAAGAAAGCAGCTGCAATGATCCAGACTGAGTAATGATAACTTATCACAGTCAGTGCTCAGTAACAGCTGTATCTTGTGGAAACTATTTATTTTTTTATTTTTTTTAGACTTGCTTTTTTAATATCTTTCTATGGATCATTGGCAATTAGGCCAAGGAACTAGAGTAAAAGAAATACAAAAAATAAGGCTGTTTGAAAAGTGTTTGTATAGTTATGTCGTATTGTGTTATGTGAACAGGGTTAACTATTCATAGTGTTTGACATCAGAAAAATAATTTTCTTAGAGATCAAACCGGGAAGAATTGTTGGAATTCTTTGCGCTTTTTTCATGAACTGTAATCCACTATAGATAATTATGTAATTTTGCCTAAATATTGATATATATGTATATATATAATCTGTATATAGCTGTTACAAATAGTGGATTGGTTTTTGTGCCCCTCCATGATGGATAGTGACTAGAACTGAGAGACTTTGACAGCCCTGTCCTGAGTATATTTTTCTACCTGTTTCACAGGTTACTTCCTTAATTGTAAGAAACAAGCTTAAAAATATCTTAGCAGTGGAATCAAGTGAGAACAGACTTTATTCCTGTCTTGGTTTACAAGACGGGTGTCTGCTATGGAAGGCAGAAGAAGCTCCCCATGGAATGGAGAATGTAAACCCCCTCCCTCCGAAAGAATTTTTAGAATTGTGAAATTAAGGGGCTCTCAGGCAAAGATATGGGAATAGGAATAACAGTTCGTTACTAGTACAATAAAGTATACTAGTATAATAAAGCAAACAAAAAACAACAGCTTGGGCATTAACAACAAACAGAAACAGGGACCCAGTGACAGCCTTTGGCTGCGGCACTTTCCCCTTTGGTGTCATTACAGTCACAGCTGGCAGGGGTGCTGTTGGCTCCCAGTGGACAGGGTAGGCGCTATGATTCCCCTGTGGCCGCTGGCCACGGGGGAAATTCCTGCTTTCGTCTTCACCATGTGTCCCACCATTCCTTCCAACCACCCAATATCCTAAAACTCTAACAGACCAGGACGGGTCTGGTATAGCACTGGCGTGGAGTTCGCTTTCCTGTGCTGGAATTACAGAGTAATTCTCTGGCCAGAAATAGTTATGACTCACCCCTGTGAGTCATAACTATGTCAAATCCTGTGTTTTCTTTATCCAGCCTCCTGTTGTCTCTGGGCTTCAGCCTGCGACCACTGGTGGCTCTGGGAGTGTCCAATAGACTCCGTCAAATCTGTGGCATGGGCGCACCTCTTTTCAAAAACTCCTAGCACCACTGGGGCGAGGTGTTTATTGTGGGGAGAGCCCCCCAAAATTGTGAGAAATGGCTACTCACTTTTCATAAATTTAGAAAAGTTTATTAAGCCTTATCAAAAATACAATAGAAGACTGAATAGGGAAAATGTTATGGCACCAGGAGCAAAGGATTTTCCCCACCATGTGCTCACCCACACAGTGGAGGTTTTTGCCTTTTAACCCTTTCGCCCCTCCCACAATTCTGTCTATCGACTCCTTCTTCACTGTCCAGTGATGGAGTTTACTTCCTCAAATCCTAATTGGATGGCAGATGTCGCCATAGTAACAAACCGACCCTCCCAAATGTCCCAACCCTTGCTGTCTCTTGATAAAGGGGGCTAAAACATAACTATAAATCTATAAACTTTTCTTAATCTATGTACATGATATTTGTCTGTTAATTGTGAGAGCCAATCATCACATTACTCATCTATCACAAGGGGTTTCCAAGCAGATTAGAACAAGGATTTCTGCACATCAGCTTGTACAGATTTTAAAAAAATCAACAGCAAGAGTATCAGTGAAAATCAGATTTTTAATATTAAGCAACAGCACAACAAAGTTCGTTGGCAAGATCCAGTCTACTACTTAGAGGACAGTTAAAGCACACTAAGGAAAACAAGCAACAAGAAAACCAAACAAAATCCAGACAATCAAACAGAAATTAACTGAGAACTATCTAGAGGATGTGGGTGGGTGTGTGTGTGTTTAGGTACATATGATAAAAGGACAGTGAGAGCACAGATGAAAAGGAATACAGCCTAAAAGTTTAACAGCACTCAAACTTAAGAGTACTTTTACTTAAATTGTACCTTAAACCTAACAATTTAACAAAGGAATAACATTTAACTTATACCTAACTCACAACTTTACCTTAACAATTTAAGAGAGAAATAACATTTAACAGCATTTAACCTAAGTTAAAATTAGCGACTTAGCAAGAAAACAGTAGCATTCCACTTAGTTTATAACTCAGTGACTTAACCTTACTACAGGTCTAACTTACGTATATACCTAAGGTGCTTAAAAATCTAAGAAAGCAGCATTTCTCCTAGCTTTGCTATAGCATATGCTCATGTGCATGCACACAGACATAAACAGTTAGTGCCAGCAAGGTGCCTGTAAAAAATTCCCCTTGAAGGTAAGTGAATTACTCACTTTGGATGCCTTTGCACCTCCCCAACGAGTGAAGAGGTTGAGCCTCGAGGAGTGAGGATGTTGGCCCAGTATTCGTAATTTTTTTTGTCGATCCTCCAAGTACAAAAATCTTGAGAGTACACTAGCTCTGACTAGTCACTTAGAGGGAGGTTGCTGGTTGCAGCCTGCTGTGGTCCAGGAGAGCTCAAAGGGCCCCATTTTGGACGGCTGTTTACAGGATCGCTAGAGAGTGGGCTTCAGTCATAACAATGTTTTATCCTGGTCACAGTTGTGTTGGCACTTTCTTTGAAAGTGTGAGAACAGGGATGTTTTGCCATTCAGGCAAGAAAAATAGTTTCCAGTGCTGTTTGTAAGGAAAACCTGAGCTTGTTAGACAGCAGCAGTTCCTGGGAGTAGACAGGGTTTTTGATGAGCTTGGGAAGAGCTGAGTCTAGGTACTGTTTTTTCAAGGCCAAGGCCTAACAAGCATTTCTCAGATATCAGTGCAGCCTGTGAGGAGGGAGGAGTGCACCACCACAGTAAGCAAAAAGATTTGCTTAGATTTTTGAAGTGTCCTTTGCTTTATGTAATGAGTAAGACTGTATTTTTCTGCTAATGCAAGTTTGTACATTATTCCACCACTCCCACACTCCCAGATATTTGTTTAAAAGTTTTGCCTAAAGAAACATAAAGCTTTACAGCAGCATTTCTATAGGAAGTAGAATTATGATAAATCAGTAGACATGTACAAAATTCCACAATACTATTGTAAATTCCCTATATTTTTCATTCTATATGTTGGTACTTTAGTTGAAGAAGAAAATGTGAACATACCTCTCATAAATATCATTACTTACTTTATTTGAATTAGTTACATTATTTTCAATTTTTTGTATTTATTTTCACTGTAGTGAGATAGGGAGTTTTTTATTAATTAGCTAACTCTCCCTAATGGAAGCAAAAATGAGAACAAACCAGATGAATGAAAGGTTTATTGAAGAAGTTGACATTCACTGAAAATAATGAAATAAGTAACCTGTAGTTATGTGAACCTGGTAAGATTTTTAAAAAATTAATCAAATTTTTACCTTTTGAATATTCATATTCTTTTAAAACTGTATTCTAACAGAGAATTCTTGAACTGGAAAGCTCTCTTGCAAAGTATTTGCAAGATGACAGAAGGCAGTCAGAGGAATTAAATACTCTCATAGAGTCTGAAAAAACCCAGCACAGTAAGGAAATCAGTGATATGGTTGAAAAACACAATAAAGAACTGGAGAATGTGAAACAGCAGCAAGAAAAGCTTTGGACAGAAAAACTTGAAATTTTAAAGCAACAACAAATAACTGAAATAGAAAAAATAAGAGAGAAACAACAACAAGAGATACAAACCATTTTGAAAGAGAAAGAAACAATTTTCTGTGCACACATAGAAGAGATGAATGAAAGAACATTAGAAAAACTTGATGTGAAACAAACAGAATTAGAAGCACTGTCTTCTGAGCTATCAGAAGCACTAAAAATACGTCATGATTTAGAGCAAGAGCTCTCAGAAATAAATAGTAAAGTGTGTGAAGCTAAGCAAGAATTGAAAGGAAGGTTGGAAGAAGAGAGGAAAAAGCACAATGAAGTGATTGAAGCAATGTTAAAAGAGCATGAAATGGCTATTCAAGGTGTTGAGAAGGTACTCAAAGAGGAACTCAACAAGCTCAAACAATCACTGGAGGAGAAGGACAGACATTTGGAGGAGTTAAAAGCACATGAACGGAAAATGAAGGAATCTGCAGAAAGATCTGAAGCTGAACTTGTCCAAGTGTCTGCAAAGTTAGAGGAGCAAAGAAATGAAAATATATGGAAAGTAACCGCTTTAACACAGCAGTATGAATGTCAACTGAAGGACCTAGAAAGAAAGGCTGATGAGATGAAGAGAAGTCTGACTGAGAAGGAAAATGAAATGGAGCACATGAAGAAGTTACAGAACAAGCAAGTGGAAGAGCTTAAACAGAAACTGTTAGCTGCAGAGGAGAGAATTAGTGCTTTACAAGGAGAGTATGAAAGTAAACTGAAATGTCAGGAGAAGAAAGTGGAGAAAATGAAGCAGAAATCAAAAGATATGCAGGAAACTTTCAAAAATAAACTTGCTGAGCAGGAAGCTAAACTAAAAAAAGAGCTTGAAAACAAGCAGTTGGAATTCAGTCAGAAAGAGAGTGAATTCAATACTAAAATCTTGGAAATGGCTCATGCCAGCTCATCTGGAATCAATGATGCAGTGTCAAAACTGGAATCTAATCAGAAAGAGCAACTAGACAGTCTTGCTGAGGACCACAAAAGGAAATTGGAAGGAGTAATCCAAAGTTGGGAAAAGAAACTTAATCAGCAGATTGAAGAGCTTAAGGAACAACATGCTTTGGAACTGCAAGAGAAAGTGCAGGAAGTTGGAGACCTGAAACAGAAGCTTTTCATCGTCAGTGCTGAAAAGGAGGACTCCAGAACAGAAATAATCCAACTGAAGGAAGAACGAGGGAAAAGGGAGGAATGCCTGAAGGAGTTGCAAGAACAGCTAAGGCAGTCAGTGGCTAAGGTGAATGCTTTGTCAGATAAGGAAAGTGACATGAAAACACAGTTGAAAAAATTGGAAAGTGATCTTAAACAGTCCCTGAAACAGCAGACAGGACTTCAGGAACAACTCAGTAAACAGAAAGCAGTTGAAGAGAAGGACAAAGCCACAATTACTGAGCTGACTGATATATTGAGAACCCTTGAAGAAAAACTCCAAACTGTGCAATCTTCTCAGTATAAAGATCATAAAAATTATGACAAAAAATCAGAGACAATTACCCTAAAAGAAATGGAGTTTAAAAGGTTGTCAGGAGAACTTACAGCCCAGTTAGATGCTTGGAAGAGTGCTGAAGCTTCATTGCAAACTAAAGGCGATGAATTAATTGAAAAATGTAGTGAAAAAATTGGCATCATAACATGTAAAATTGCAGACTGTGAGCGCCAAACTGCAAAGGTTAAAGAAGCAATATTAATCAAAACAAGTAAGATAACTGAACTAGAAGCTCAACTTAGGGAAATAACGGAGCATCATTCTGCTGCTACTACTTCTTTGCAAAAGTCAATGCAAGAACTGCAGAAGAAGGACAATTTAATTATGTCCATGAGAGCTGACATTGCAGGACTTGTAACAGAAAATAAACAATTGCAAAAAGAGGGAGAACATCAGCAGCAAGCAGCATCAGAGAAAGAAACTTGCATAACACAGCTGAGGGAAGAGTTATCTGAAAATATCAATGCTGTCACATCAATGAGGGAAGAACTCCAGAAAAAACAGTCTGAAGTGTCTGCTCTCAACAAAACAGTTACTGACCTTAATGTTAGACTTGAAAGCACAGTAAGTTTAACAGAGAAGGAAGCAGCCATATCTCTGTTAAGCAAACAACATCAAGAGGATCAGATGCAGTTGTTAAATCAAGTAGAAGAGTTATCATCCAGAGTTGAGATGCTGAGTCAAGAAAAAGCATCAGCTTTTGATCAGATAGATCATTGCACAGCCCAGCTGTCAGAGTGGAAGATGAAAGCACAAACCAGGTTTACACAAAATCATGATACTATCAAAGATTTGCAGAGCAAACTTGAATTAAGCAATACTGAAGCCAGTAAAAAAGATGAAGAGCTAAATAAACTGAAGGAACAGCTGGCTAAACAAAGCAGGAATCTTGATAGTTTAAAAAGTGAATTGGAACAAAAGCAAAACAGGAGGGAAAAGGAAGAAAATGAGTTAACCTCAAAGTTAAAAAAACAAGCAGCAAAAATTGCTGAACTAGAAAAAAACATTGCTCAGAAAACCTTAGAAAATGATTCCTTGGTGGAGGAACTTAAAAAGTGTAATGAACAAAAAAACACAGAGAAAAAAGAAATAGTTTGGCAACTCCATCAGGCAGAGAAGGTGGCTTTTGAAAAGGAGAATAGATTTAAGAAGGCTGAAGAAAAAGTGCTTAATCTTGAGAAGCAAATAGGTTCACTGAAAGCTGATTTTGAAGCAAAAGAGAAGGAATTTGATCAAATTAAGTCAGTGATACTTAAAAGGAAAGAGGAAGAACTGAAAGAATTAGAAGAGAGACTGAATGCAGAGAACAGCACTAAGCTGGCTGATCTGAAAAAGAAGGCAGAGCAAAAAATAGGCTCTATTAGAAAGCAATTACTGTCTCAGATGGAAGAAAAGGAACAGCAATTTAAGCAAGATAGGTTGGATCAGTTAAGAAAGTTGGAGCAGAAATTACAGGAGAGAGAAGCCAAAATTGAGTCCTTAGAAGAAAAAATTAAGTCAACAAGAGATTCCCCAGAATTAGAGAAGGAGATGCTGGAAAAAGTAGAGAGTGTAAAAGCTGCTGTAGAACAAGAAAAAAATAACTTACTTGAGAGTGTCCAACAGACATACAAAGAGAAAATTCAGGTATTACAGAAGGGCTTAACGGAAAAAGATGCATTATTACAGAAGTATGAGAAAGAACAACAAGAGAGTAATGACTGTCACCTAGAACTGCAAAACAAACAAAAAGAACTCATTAAAAAACTAGAATGTGTTGAGAAGAGCCATCAGGAAGAGCAGGTTAGGACCAAAAGTCTCAGGAGAGAACTTGACGAGCAAGCCAAAAAATATTCATTGTTAGCGGATGAGCATGCATGTTGTGGCAGTATTTTAGCAAGCAGTAGGGAAGAATTGAAAGTTAAAGAACAAAAATATCTTGATATGGAGAATATAATTGGAGACTTACAGAAAAAATTGCAGGAGAAGGAGGCAGTCAGTCAGTCTTTAGAACAGAAGATAAAAGAGTTGGAAAATAATGTAGTGAAGAAAAATGAAATGCTGAAGATTGAGATGGAAGATATGACTTCAAGATATGAAGAAAAGCTAAAATGTCTACAGCAACAGTTGGGTGAAAGAAATGACAGTCTGAAAGCTTTTGAGGAAAATGCTGCAGAAAAGTCAAGATCTGTTTTGGAGCTGCAGAAGTTACTTGCTGATATGCAGAACCAGCAGAAGGACTTACAGACTAAACTGGAAGAGACTGAAGGGGAGAAACAGAAACTACGCAAAGAGGTGAATAATCTTCAAAAAGACATACGTACTTTGCGAAAGGAACATCAGCAAGAGCTTGACATAGTAAAGAAGGAGTCATTAGAGGAAATGGAGCAAAAAATCAGGTAAATTCTTTGTTCCTGTCTGTGTTACCATTTCTGTATTTTATCTCTAGCCACTAAAACCTCAAGAATACTTTTCTAAAGCTCAGTTTACAACAAGGAAATAATGACTGATGTTTTTCTTTAATTGTTCTAAATTCACTTAGAGAAACAGAAAGAATAGAGGTTTGACATTTGGCAGAGTAATACCATTTCTGATCTGTTTCAGTGATGGTAATTTTCAATATTGCTGAAGCATATAATTCTATTTTTCTCAAACAGGAAACAAAAGTTTATTAAAACTTAGTACTGAGAGCTTCATGTTCAGTTGAGATCAATAATTGTTCATACGTATTGCACAAAATGTGGTGTACTGCTTAACGCTTTTAATAGTTTTTCGGGCCATTCTAAAAATTCCCTAAAAATTCTTTTTATGACATTCTCTTCTTCCAGTTCTTCAACTTCCTCAGCAAAAACTCTGTATCTTTGGAGGGGTTCAGTTCTGGGTTGTTCTTAAATTAAACATCTGTGCCTACCAGGTGAATTAGATAGGAGAGGAAGATAATGCCTCCGTGAATCACAGAATTAATATAATTCAAAACCATCCTCTTCTAAAATAGTTTTCAAGACAATCCCAGATCTCCTACCTCGCCTTGTGTTTTCACACACTCTTTAAACATTGTATTTCCTAGCTGTATGTTTTGACATTTTTGTACAGATGTGAACAAGAAGACATTGAGTTAAAGCACAACTCCATCTTAAAGCAGTTAATAAGAGAGTTCAATACTCAGCTGGCTCAAAAAGAGAGAGAATTGGAAACAGCAGTAAAAGAAACAATCAGTAAGTGCAATATTAATATAACTGTAATCAGTAGAATAGTCAGAGAACTGAATCTTCAGTTATTGTTGTTTTGGGGGAGGGATTTTACCTGTGACTGTGATAAACACAACATGTATTTTATGAATGTCTAGAGAACTTAGGGAAATAACTTGTCTTGCTCAGGAAGTAACTTAGATATTTATTGTAGTACAATTAGGAAAATGCATATGTAGCTGTTCTGCAGGATGGGTCTTTGATCTAGCACTCTCTAGAGCTGCCATGGCAAGAGTTACCTGTGATAGCCATGGGTATCTTTCTGTCATATGTATATAATAAAAAAAAAAAAGAGAGTAAAATTTTGAAGGTGAAAGTGCATTGGTAAATTTCCATTGCAATGCTACTTTGTCTCCAGTAGTAAAAACTTTAACATTCCATTGTTGAATATATGGCACCTGGAGAGAAAATTACTCACCTTTTAGAGATACTTAGATCCATCTGAGAATCAGAATTGCTTTTTCTTAGCTGCATCTTGCAGACTTCATTCACTAACCACTAACTGGGTATGATATCTGAATGTAACACAATGTGATTATAACTAGAGTGCAACATATTTCATCTTCTCAGTCTTTTGCCACCGTAGTGTAACTTGGAGATTAGAAAAGTGAGAAAAAGCTGTGGTTTGATTCCAGTTACTAGAAGTACACCTACAGGTGAGGAGTTTCTGAAAATTGCAAATGGTTCAGTCACATCTCTAGATAGAATAGGAGATTGAATTGGTTAATAAATATTGATAGTCATCTTCTAGAAACTAGTTCCAGCACCAGGTAGAAAAAATTGCTTCAGGTACCAAACTGCAGACAACAAATTTTGTACATGTTAGAATCAAGGAACATAATAGTAACTGATAGTGTGGAAAAATGAATTTTCCTGGCAAGTTTTCCTTATAGTTACTTGGAAACATTTTTAAAATTTAGTAAGTCCTACACTTACTTTTCCAGGGAATATTCTGTATCATTATAATTTGTACTCCTGAGATTTTTGAATAGAACAAAATTTCCATCAGCAGTTCTGGACTTGTTATCAGTTATGACATAATTAGAAAAAAAGCAAACAAACAAAACCATGCTTTTCTTAATACTGCCTAACTTTTTTTGTAGGTAAAGCCCAGGAGGTAGAAAATGAATTGATAGAAAATCATCATATGGAGACAACACAGTTGCATAAAAAAATTGTTGAAAAAGATGATGATCTGAAAAGAACTGTGAAAAAATATGAAGAAATCCTTGAGGTACCTTTTTGAAAAGTGATATGACTACACAAATTTCAAAATTACTCTTTTTTGATTGCATATCTAGATAGAAAAATTGTAGTTCTTTCTAGTGAAGGTCTTACTGCTTGAATTACACTTGATATGTCTGGTGACTCAGCTTGCAATTAAAATATTTGTTTCTGTAGTTCATGGGCATGAAAGAACATCAGAAATTAAGCCCTAACTTTGATCACTCAATAAAAATTAGATGGCTAAGTCCTTACATCCTTGAGCTGTTTGTGTGCCAGACTGGAATGAGAAAACTGAGTGACATTTGAGCTTTTAGTGGAATTGTGCTGGTGGTGTATCATTTTTATAAATACAGTGTTTATGGGGCAGTCTCACTCTCTATCTCCTTCCTCTGATGCCCTGCTGAGATTGGTGCCATAGCCCTTAAAGTAAGGTTCTGTTCCATGCAGGGTGCAGTGTGTTTGCTTAGTTTTTATGCTAGTAAAGATTTCTCTTTTTTTGCTTTTAATGAACAATTTTTCTGCATGATATTTGCAGACAGACATACCTTTTCTGTAGTAGCATTTCAACCAGAAGTCACCAGCCAATTTCAGTTTAAGTATACTTCACCAAGGATGCCTCTTTTTTTAGCCAAGTAAATTTTCCCAGTCCTGTCTGTATGTCAAAAACATTAAATGATTTTCAGTGCTAGACTGTACATCATATTGGAATGCAAGCTTTAACTTTGTTCATCTTAGTCCTCTTTGCACAAATAGTGTGATTAAAAAATATATATTTTTTACGCTAAAAATAATGTAAAAAATACACAACGTATTTGTGTAAAAAAAATATTTACACAAATAGTGTAAAAAAAAAAAAGAGAGACTATTCCATGAATAGAGCCAGCAGTAATAGATGTAAGTGGACTGTTTGCTTGTGAGCGGTTACCAGACCAAAGATCTATGCACTTAACATTTATGAGTGCTTTGTACTAAAAATTTCAAACATGTAAGCAGGCTGGTATGTTTCACTCTGATTTTTAAACTTTTAGCAGGATGAATAGCATTAGCAGGGTTTTACATTTAGAGTCCTTTTTTTTTCCTAATTTAGAAAAATTGATTGATATTTATAAAACAAGGGTTTTTGAGGGCGGGTTGTGTTTTTTTTCTCTTTTGTTTTTGTGGGTTTTTTGGAGTTTGTGTGTGTGTGTTTTGTTTGTTTGTTGGTGGTTTTTGTTTTGTTTTGTAGGGTTTTTTTCATAACAGAGGTCTAAATTCTGCATTTCTGGAGGATTTAAATTTTTCTTACCTCAGTGTGCAGTGTGTTGCCATTCAGGTCCTTACTTTATAGGCCCAGATGGGTATGTGATTTCAAATCATGCAGGTGTGATTCCTTCATGTTTTCTGCTCCTTTCATGCTTAATGTCAGAAACAAGTATGGTGTAGTCATTGTATGATCTTGAAGGTTTAGGCTAATTTGACTTATGTGCAATTGGAGGACATAAACACTTTTTTTTGCATCTCATTGATGATGACAATGGCAGTTGCCTGGAACTGAAATAAACTGTAGTTTGATGTTTTAAATTACAGAATACATGGATATTTTGTATATCTGTCTTTCATAGGTATATGTGTGAGTGTTTTATTTCTGTTATTTTAAGGAATTAAAAAAAATATAGAGTTGGTTTTTTTTTCCTGAAAGAAGTATTGCAAGCATCTCAAAGGTTGAGAAATATTTATGTTAAATTGGATGTATATCATGTTCATTGACATCTCTGATAGAAATAGGAACATATACATCACCAGATTTAGCGTAAAATTACCAGTTATTGCCTCACTTATACTTGATTTGCCTTACGGTGCATTTGAGAAATTTCATATCATGCAGAGAAGTTTGTCTCAAATGGTAAGGAGATGAAGCAAAAATAAAGCCAATTGCAAGAATGAGCCTTTTGCTTGTATAACTTTGTTGCTCTTTAAACATGGTTGATGCTAAAAATTGTCTAACTTGGTTTATTTATCCTCAAAGACAAGCAAGAATCATTCCATCTGTTAAACTTAATAGGATTTGCTTGTGAAGTGCTCCACTTTTGCTTTATGTGATGTTTTCTTTTATGAAAACTTTCATCACGTAAGATTTCATTAAAGTCTCCCTAATTAAAGGATTTTTAGATTGGCATAGCCTCTAATTAGGGAGCTAAGTATTTTTTCTTCAACTAGAGTATATCATTAGAGAAAAATAAAGTGCTGTTTTCCAGCTAGCATAACTGTGAGCTAAAAATACCTAACTTCAGTTATGTATCTTTTCATTTGTTGTAATGCCTTCCATGAGAGTACAGGATAGGCTTCCTGATTGAGATTTGGGAAACTATAACATTTTTGAAGTCTTAGTCTATAATTGTAATTACATCCAAATATCATGTAGTTTCTTTTCAAAGTATGCTAGATGCTATATAGAACAATAATTCTTACTGTGGATGCAGATCAGTAGCATGTTGGAACCCAACTTGATTGCTAATAATTTTAAATTCAAAATAATAATCTCTCTTCAGGGGTTTATCCAAATACTTGCTCACAAGTGTGTCCTTTTTAGAAAAGTGTAATTCATCATTTTGAGTTTAATTTCTTTTCAGCCTCTCAACTACCTTTTATAACTAAGAACGAAATGCATTCAATTTTGATTTACTAAATGAAACAGTTGTGTACAAATTGTAAAATTTTAGATTCTTGGTGGACAAAAAAATTTTAAAAAATCTGCAAAAGCCAAAACAACAACCATCACTATCCCTTAATATGCCAGGTATTGAGAATTTTTAAACTGGGGAGTATAACAGTCTATAAAAAAAGAATAAAAGTTTCTTAGAGATGATTAATTGTTGATGCACTTCTGAGGGCATAGAAAAATCATGGGAGTGAATAGAAGCTAACATTGTTTAGAGGTCATGATGTTTGAGTAAGGTCTTTCTTGAGCATGGATATTTTTTAAACTTTGTGGCTGTAAAAATTGCTCAGATACTCTTACCATATTGCTCAGATACTGCATTGTACCCATTATTTGTGGGTAGATTTGCTTAATTTCTTTTTAGTGATGCGTTCTGGACTGTGGGGCTGCATGGGGAAGGTATTTTATTCTTAACTCATGTGCAAGGAACACCTTAAAAATTGGTCTTAGAGGGAAGTAATTCTCTTATTAGTAATGGCATTCCATAAATCTTTTAAGCCTAGATCAGCTTTCTAATCCTACACTTACTTTTCCAGAGAATATTCTGTATCATTATAATTTGTACTCCTGAGATTTTTGGAACAAAATTTCCATCAGCAGTTCTGGTTGTCAGTTAATTAATTGTACTAATTTGACTTGAAGTACTATTCTGTTAGTAAAGCCATCAATTGACTGACAGCCATGTATGGTTAGCATGAGTGAAACTAGAGTTTTCGTTTTGTTCAGCAACAGAGACATGCACTAGGAACTGGAGTGCTGTTTTATAAGGTCCCTAACGTATTCTCTCACAAGAAGGCCAGAGGGGACACAATTCTAAAAAATACTTGTTTTTGCAAAATGCCATATAGATGGATTAATTCCCTAGGATTTAGGTCATTGTATTTTTCTCTCCCTACCATTCTTGTTACTGCTTCTTTCTTCTGTACTGAATACTGCCATTCAAACCCTTGAGAACAGGAAATTGTTGGTCATTGTTTTGGAAAATGTGCTTAAAACTGCTTTCATAGCATCTTTGTGAGAGTGGCTGAGGAAAGGATTTAGGTCCTTGTCACTTCCATAATATAGGAATTAATTCTGTATTGTCATCTGCCCCTTCCGTGAAGGTCATGACCTTCATGCACTTTCTGGATTATACTCAAATGCTGTTTTAGTGCCCAAGAGAAATAGATCTTTTTTGGAATTAAAAAAAATAATCCTAACTATGTAATCTTTATTGTTGGAGCCTACAAAATCTTGTTAAGCACCAATTCTTTTTCTTGGTCTGTTCTGTAGGAGTCTTGTGTAACTAGCTTATACACAAATATCAAGCATATAATTTCTGTGTATAGTATAACATTTGTTGATTGCTTTATGTCCACCATAGTTAAAGTTTTGAGTAGTTAAACGATTAATTGTATAAGTAAGTTTTTGCCTGTATTTTGAAGACTCGTGAAGAAGAGATGACAGCAAAAGTTCATGAGTTGCAGGCACAGCTGGAAGACTTGCAGAAGGAATACAAACAAAGGATTGTGGAAGAGGAACATAGCAACAGTGAAAAAGTGAGCTGGCACTGACATTTGTTTTTATATCTCCACATGTGAAATTCTTGGTCCATAGGAAATTCATAGCAATTTATTGCTAATTTGACTTTATTTATGTATCTGGCCTTCACTTTCACATACCAAACGAATATCTTTAGAATCTGCAATATTTGGTACTACCTTTTTAATTGGTATATTGAAAAGTGCAGTTCTGTTGTTATTATTAAGGTGGGGTTTTTTTGTCCTCTATGTGTGTTTATGTTGGTTTACTGGAAGCCCTTTAGAAGAAAAGAAAATCCTGTTATCATTTTTAGATTGATTTTGTAAAAATTTGTATTTCAGAGGTGTCTGAAGTAGTGGCTTGAATATGTCAATTATGGATAGAGGGACCTTCATTGAAACAAGACTGCCTTCATTCTTTTGTCTTTCTGAGATTACATTTTAATTTGAAGAATTCTTTGATGAAAATACTACTAGCTGTTATTAGATTGAGGAGAGAAAAAAAGTCTATGAGTTGTTGTTTCATTGATGAGAATTCATATTGACCTTACTTTTAATATTTTCATTTTTACAACAGATAGCCCTGGGGAGAGTAAATTTATATATTTGACATTAGAAACCAAAAGTACAAATTATCTCACTGACCTAGTGTTTGTTACTTCTGTCTTGCACTTGCGTACAAAACCGTTTATATTACTTTTCCATAGTATGAGTTGTTTTCATAACAGGAAAAGCAGAAATCTAAGACTGCCTTGTATTCTTAATTAACCTTTGCTCATCTACTGATAGTTTTACATAATCCTATTGTCTAGGGGAAGATTCTTTAAGAGACTCCTAACTTTTAAAACATGATTATGAAAAGTCTGAAGAGTACGTTTTCTTTAGGACTTCTTTGTTAACTGTTTCACTCCTAGTTTGTTATAGCAGTCTGCTATAAATACAGGCAGTCATTAAGTATTGTATTATACATTCATCTTAGGGATTACTGATATGACTATTATATCAAATTTAGATACTGGCCATGATATTTCATGTATTCAGCTCAGGAGCGATGCATCCCAACAAGGTGTAAATCAAGCAAAAATTCCAGGAGACCTCCATGGATGAATAAGGACCTGCTGGGGAAACTCAGCGTTAAAAAAAAAAAAAAAAAAGCTTTTAGGAAATGGAAACGAAGACCGGTGGCCTGAGAGTAATACGGGGAAATTGTACGGGAAGGTAGGGACAAAGTTAGGGAAAGCCAAAGCTCAGTTAGAATTGTTGTAGCCAGGAAAAGTAAGGCAAACAGGAAGGGCTTCTATATGTATGTTGCAAACAAAAGAAAGACTAGGGAAGGAAATGGGAAACTTGGCTACTCTGAACAAAGAGTAGGCTGGGGTTCTCAACAACTTCTATGCCTCTGTCTTCAATGGCAAGTGCTCCAGCCACGCCACCCAAGTCAAGAAAGGCAGCTGCAGGGACTGGGAGGACGAAGACCCTGAGCCCACTTGCCTTGACATTGGACAAGTGCAAGGCAGCCATTAAAGCTGCTCACTCAACCTCCCCTACCACAGCTGGGCAGAGGAGAAAAAAATTTTCATGAAGGCTTCATGAATTGAGATGAGGACCAGGAGAAAACACTCCAAGGGCAAAACAGGCTCAACATAGACTTAGAAAGTGAACTTATTACAGAAGAGGATAATGAGAAGTAAAATAAGTCCTTAAAAACACCTCTTCTTCCCTCAGACCTTCCCTCCTTCCCAATGACAGCACAGAGAGACGGGATGAGGCTTTTGGTCAGTTTGTCACCTGAAATCTTCTTCTGCTGCTCAGGGAGAGGAGTCCATCCCTGTTCTCTGTGGGGTCCCTTCCCATCCCTCAATCTAATAACAGCTAGTATTATTTTCATCAAAGTTCTTTGTGAACTTCTCCAGCCTGGTTTCAATCTCATGAGCAGCAGTTCTCCTAAACTGCTGCAATGTGCGACCCTCCCATGAGCAAACAGTCCTCCCAAAACTGCTGCAGCATAGGTCACTCTACCACGGGGTGCAGTCCTCCAAGGACAGGCTGCTCCAGCCTGGAAGCCGGGGCCGCCTCTATCCACTGTGTCTCCCACTGGATCACAGCCTCCTTCAGGGCATCTACCCACTCCAGTGTGAGCACCTCCCCCATGGGGTGCAGGTGGATCTCTGCATCCCCCATAGACCCCCATGGGCTGCAGGGGCACAGCTCCTTCACCATGGTGTTTACCACAGCCTGCAGAGGAATCTTGGCTCTGGCGCTTGGAGCACCTCCTGCCCCTCCTTCTCCGCTGACCTTGGTGTCTCTATGTTGTTTCCCTCACATGTTCTCACTTCTTCTCTGGCAGGAATCAAAACTGCACCACCACTTTATTTTGATTTTCTTCTTAAATATGTTATCACAGAGGTGTTACCATTATCTCTAATTGGCCCAGCCTCGGCATGTCCATCTGCAGACCCATCAGAGATTGGCTCTGCTGCACATGGTGGAAACTTCTAGCAGCTTCTCACAGAAGGCACCTCTGTGGCCCCACCACTATGAAAAACCAGGCCGAGCAAAACCAAGACATCACTGTAGAATAGGGTCAGGTTCGAAACCATCTAAGGAACCTGAATATGCACAAGTCCATGGGACCCAATGAGGTTCATGCATGGATCCTGAGGGAGCTGGAGATAGTTGCTGAGCTACTATCCATCATTTTTGAAAAATTGTGTCAATGACTGATGACTGGAAAAAGAGAAACTCCCATTTTTAGAAAGTGGAAACTGGAATATCAGTGAAACTACGGATGAATCAGTCTCACCTCTGTGCTAGGCAAGATCATAGAACACTGGAAACTATGTGAAGGCACATAGGAAAAAAAGAAAAAAGAGGTGAATGGTAACAGCCAAAATGGCTTTACAAGGGGGAGATCATGCCTAACAAATTTGGTGACCTTCTCTGATGGGGCTGCAGCGTTGGTGGACAGGAGCAGAGCAACTGACATTGTGTACCTGGACTAAATGCAAAGCATTTCACACTTTTGCACGACATCCTTGTTTCCAGATTGGAGAGACAGGGATTTGATGGATGGACTACTTGGTGTGTGTGGCCATAAAGAACTGGCTGTATGGCCACACACACAGAGTCTGGGTTAATGGCTCATTGTCCACTTGGAGACCAGTTACATGGAGAGGTTGCAGCAGTGATAAATAGAGTAGTATAATCACCTCTTTTGACTGATGATGGTGTCTTTGATGCAGTCATGGGGTCAGTACTAGCTGGGGCTGATACTATTCAGTATCTTTGTCAGTGACATAGACAGTGAAATCTGTTGGTGCTGAGTGCACCCTCATCAAATCTGTTGGAAACACCAAGCTCTGTGGTGGTGCAGTCAACACGATAGAGGGAAAATGTAATACCATCCAGAGGGATCTCAACAGGCTTGAGGGGTAGGCTGAAGCAAACCTTACGAAGTTCTGCAAAGCAAAGTGCAAGGTCCTACACCTGGGTCACTGCAATCCCAGACATGCCAATGGGCTGGGCAGAGAAGTGATTGAGAGCAGCCCTGGTAAGAAAGACCAGGGAGTGACAGGTAATGAAAACTCAACATGAGCCAGCTGTGTATGCTCATAGCTCCGAAAGCCAATCAAGTCCTGGGCTGCATCACAAGGAGCATGGCCAGGAGGTCAAAGGAGGTGCTTCTGCCCCTCTGCTCACATGTAATCCCCTTGGAGTACTGTGAACAATTCTGGTGTCCCCATCTTAAGAAGGACATGGAACTGTTGGAGCAAGTCCAGAGGTGGGCCATGAAGTTCGTAAGTGGACTGGAGCACCTTCCCTGTGAATACAGGCTGAGAAAGCTGAGCCTGTTCAGCCTGGAGAAGGTTGCATGGAGACCTCATGGCAAACTTCCAATATCTGAAGGGGGCCTACAGGGAAGCTGGAGAGGGACTTTTTATCAGGAACTGTAGCGAAAGGACAAGGAATAATGGTTGTAACTTGAAGGAGGGGATATCTAAAGTAGCTGTTAGGAAGCAATTTTTGAGGCTGGTGAGACTGAACAGGTTGTGCAGGGATGTTGTGGATGCCCCAACCCTGACAGTGTTCAATGTCAGGTTTTACAGGGCCTTGAGCAACCTGGTCTACTGGGAGGTGTCCCTGCCCATGGCAGAGTGTTGAGATTAGATGATCTTTAAGGTCCGTTCCAACCTGTTAGCATTCTATGATTGATTCCTCAGTTGTTCCCAGAAATGTATCAGACAGATTGGCAATGACCTGTAAAGTATTTGAATATTGCAAATATTAAATGTCTAAAAGTGAATATGTTTACAATTAACAAAATGAACATTTAATTTTGCCTGTGTCTGGAATGTTGTCCACAGCTCTCCACTCCTTAGAGTTTCCATGGTAGACTTTAGAGAAACTCAAAGCAGTTCTCCAGGGTATAAGTGGCTACAAACCAGTTCAGAGAACTCCACCACTGATAAACAGCTTAGTTTTAAAGGATAAAGGAGGTTTCATTTGTGGGGGAGGACAACCAGGTTGTGTAGTGCTGATACTTAGATACAGTTAAAGCATCCAGGTTCAAAGTTGTTGCAGAATAAGAATGCAGGTTTGGGGTTTTTTTCCCCCAAGTGTATATATGTGGTTTCTCTAGAATACAGGCATCAGACTTTTCTGAGTAATTTTGAAAATTCCAACTAAATTCAAATTTAGCAAATTGTTCACAAGCTTTCTTTTGCATAGCTGATTCAACTAAATGTAAATGCCTTATTTGATATGATTCACAATGGTGATTTCATCTCAAAACAATGGAACTATTCTAACAGATTGTGCTGTGGAATTTCACATAATTCCTGGTATATCTTCTGATCCAGTCAAAACTCAAATATTTAGAGTAATGTAAGTGGGCTTTTAGTTCCTGTTTTATCAGTATTTTTTTCTTTAGTATTTAATTTAAAGGATTTAATTCTTATTCTGACACAATCTGTTCTGGGGTCAAGAGGTAGTTTTCTTTTATCCTACTTAGAAATTGAGTTGTTTTTATTTTTACTCCTGTCTGTTGCCTGTGCTTGGTATGTTTGTAGGAAACTAATTGTGCTTTAACCTGGTTCAATACTACATATTTGCAATGGCTACAATGGCATATATGGGCAGCATTACAGAGCTATATGAGAAAATTAGACAGGGCCTGTGGAACTTGTCAACATACCTGAACAAAAACCATATAAATCCACATCTGGATTTTACAGTGCATTTAAATTAATTATATTTGCCATGGTATTTTTTGTCTCACTTGATTTCTTTTTTATTTTCTTGCTATGCAGCATTTTGGTTTGGTGGTTTTTTTGTTTTTTTTTTTACCCTTCAGCATTAGTAGTCAAACAGTTTGAAATCTTCCATTGACTGGATGCAACTTCTTGTGGGCAACATATTTTGTCTAAAATCAGAGACTCCCAAATCACAGAAGTTTGTCTTATAAACTTTCTGTGCTGCTTGTTGTCAGCCTTGACCAAACATTACACATAACATATCCATTTTGACATTAAGTGTACCCTAGATATTGGAACAGTACTTGTCTGATTGTGATAAAAAATTGACAGATACTAACAACCTTAAGTATTAATGTTTGGAGGTAAAAATATCAGAAAGTGTCTCTCTGTATCAGAAAATAAATGCCTGATGGAGGTTTTCAGAAGCAAGAATTTAACTTAGAGGTTTGAGATTGTGAGAGGAATGATTTTCCCCTATTTTCTGTTTGTGGGGTGTAGGAGAACCCACAGATTTTATCAACCTGAGATGGGGAATAGATCTCCTTTTTGACACAATTGCCAAGATGCTTGGGAAGGAAAAAGTAATATTGACCCTGAGATCAGCTGAATTGGTTGAAGCATGATGCTAATTATGCCAGAGTCACAGGTTTAATCCCTGCATGGGCCATTCACTTTAAAAGTTGGACTCAGCTCCTTGTGGCTTCCTTCTAACTTACAGTATTCTGTGGTTCTGGAATACGTACCATTTCTGTGTTAAGGTTTAGCCTACCTTAAAAAAAATCACACATAAGTTATTTGATGTTGAAATGCTTATACAGCCTTGAGTTACACCCATGACTACTGAAATATTATTTTCCTTAGAGTTGAAACACTGAAAGATAGAAATTTCAGCTTAGACTTTTTTTCTGTACTTCATAAACATCTTTGCAAGATGTAGAGCTCATGAAGCTCTTAACTGAAGCTATTTTCAGGTATATGTTCACATTTCCAAATGTGACTTGAAGAATTACGGAAAAACATAAAATATTTTGAATAGCAGTTAGGGCATCCTGTGATGTATTTCATACTCATTCAATTATTATTAATCTCCAATATGCATTTCATGAAGATTTGGAAACACTAGGTTCTTAAAGTTATATTTATGATGATTGTCTTACAGAATCAAATGAGACAATTTAAATATCAGCTTTATGTACTGTCAATACAAATAAGTTAAACTATTTATGAGACTAGTTGTTATTATTGGGTAATTTCAGTTTTTGTCATCCTCAATTAATACACTGTATAAGATCTTGATTATTGATATTTCTTTCTCCAGTGCTTGATATAGTCAGTATTTTTCATACATTTTAATCTAAATTTTTATTGTTGTTATAGGTCACAATAACAGAACTAAAGGTAAGTCTTACATGTTATTGATTTTCCTCTCTAATACTTTCATTGCGGAGCAGTTTTAAAGCTGAAATGCTGCTTATAAGTTTGCTTATAAGTGTATGTTAAAAGGAGAAATAGTTTTTTTGCAAAGGTACCTATGACGTATTTTCAGCAATTTCCATATGTGACTGTCTTTTCAGGCACAACTTGCACAGAAGACAACTCTAGTCAATGATTCAAAACTGAAGGAGCAGGAATTGAAAGAGCAGGTAGGGTGACATTGAATGAGTAAGAAGTATTCTTGTTTGATACTTGGTGTTTGCAGTATTAAAAGGTTTGTTTTTTCAAGTGATGATGTGGTACATCTCCATCCAAGGTATTATGAATATAATAGACAAAAAAATAGTTTTCACTCATACTTGTTCTCAGAAGAACTGTGTACTTTTCAAAGTATTCCTCTATCCCCTGAGAATAAAAACACCTGCTTGTAATACTGGTGAGCAATTGCACAGTGAAAAAGGGAACAGTGCACTTTATGACATTCTGGAATTTTTTTTGGAAACTAAACCTTTTTTGATGTTTAAGTATAATTTTTGTTGTAAGCTTTTTATCTATAAAATATATATATATGCGCTTATATATAAAATAGAAACATGAATATATAATATATGCATGACATTTGCTATATATATTTTTATGTGTATATACAGATGTAAAACATTGGGACAGTTTTTAATAACACAGTTTTTAATGTTTTCCTTCCATAAAAGGCAAATGTATTTTGCTTTTATAAGAGATGATATGTAGCTGGAAACTGTTTCAGTTATGCTTATTTTAGCTGCTGTTTAGGTTTAACACCATTTATCATGTCAACTTGTTCTCTGTTTAGATTCATATACTGGAAGACCAGCTGAAACATTATGAGAAAAATATGTATGTCACATCAGGTGGAACACCATATAGAGGTAAGTACACGGTTTTCATCACAAATAAGTTTTTTGTTTGTTAGAAAGATACAGTTTGGTCTAGAAAATAAAACGTCAGTCTTTTAAAAACACTTATGTAATGCACTTATGACATCCTTGTTTTCTCTTGTCTTTTATAATAGATGTTGTGTGATTTCAGATGACCAAATCTTTTTGGTCAAGCGTTTTGTTTGATGTTTTCTTTTTTATGTCATCCAGTTAAAAGAGTTCTGTATCAGAGTTCTTAAACTCTCTGCAGTACAGGACCCAAGAGCGTCCAGTAGACAGGGGCAGAGATGGGCACACCTTCGGCAGGGCACAGGTGGGAACAGAAGGTCCCAGGCTGAGCTGGGACACATCCCTTGAGCCCTTGGCAGGAGACGGTGGGTGTCCCAGGAGGCTGGCCACAGCCACCCAAGGCCTGTGAGCAGCCCCAGGACCCAGGTGGAAGCAGACTTGCACTGCTCACGTGCTGTCCTTTAGACACTGGTGGTTGGACAGTTTGGAGATAGAGTATGGGCTTATAGACCTTCTCTCTGGTGGTATACTGTTCCTCTCAGACTCTTTTAACATAAGATAGAAAAGTGCACAGGGAAATTAACAGGTATTTCTCACCTCCAAAAGATTTGCAGTTTAGTTGAGGAGTATGTACTGCATGAGACAGAGGGCTCAAGCACTGAGCCTTGCTAATATTAGAGATGTGGGGTTTTGCCATCCTGCACAGATCCATCTTAGCTGGATGAACTCAGAAGCTGTGTCACGCTTGCTGTTTGCAAATTTGTGCAAATGGTCAAATTATCTCAGGATGATCTACATCTCTCATCCCCTCAGAAGGTCCATACCTCCTTCCCTCAAGGTGACTGAACCAATGATGGGAGATGGTTGTGGGTATTCAGTGCCTTCTGCTAGTGCAGGGCTGGGAGGAAATGTAATCAAGGATTTCCTCAGCATGTACTGGTAGAGAGCGATGCAGGAAACATACTTCAGCTAGAAGGGACCAACATCAGTTTCATAGTCCAGATGTATGACCACTTCAGGGCTGATGAAAAGGTAAAGTATGTCTTTAAGGGCATTGTCCACATGCCTCTTCAACACTGACAAATAGGCATCAACCACCTCTCCAAGAGGTCTGTTCCAGAGTTTGACACCCTCTTGGTAAAGAAATGTTTCCTCTCATCAAGTCTGAACTCCCCGTGATAGATGAAGGTTTCAACCATTTTCCATGTGTCCTGGCACTGGGTACCAGGGAGAAGAGAGCAGTACCTGCCTATCAGCATCTCCTCAGGAAGCCATAGAGAGCACTGAGGTCACCCCATAGCCTCCGTTTCTCCAAATTAGACCAACTGGACTCCTCAGCTGCTTCTCAGAGGACATGCCTGTCAGCACCTTATCCAGTAGTAGAGGTACCCTCTGGGTATGTTCATGTACCTTCCCATTCTTTTTAAATGGTGAGGCCCTGAACAGCACACTACTCAAAGTGAGGCTGCACCAGTGCTAAATAGGATGGGATAATCACCTCTTCTGACCATCTGACGATGCTGTGTTTGATGCACTCCAGGATGAGGTTTGTCCTCTTGGCTGCTAAGGGCACATACACTGGTGATTCCTGTTGCACCTCCTGCCAACCAGCACCCCTAGATGCCTTTCTGAAGGGCTGCAGTTACTCCATCTAAGGTGCAGAACGCAGCATTTGTTCTTATTTGGTTTTTTGCCATTAGTGAGACTTGGATTCGGATGAGTGACTCTCAGTATAAATATTCTCTTCTTTTTGTTTACACAGATGGAAACCTTCACCATACTGACGTTTCCCTATTTGAGGAACCCACTGAGTTTGAATACTTGAGGAAAGTGATCTTTGAATACATGATGGGTCGTGAGACAAAGGTATGGAAATTTGTATATGCTGACAGGTGATCTAGGATAGAGTAATGTTTAACACCCTTGCTATATGATGGGAAGTACTATGTGTTTGTGATTTGTTATGTGCTGTTTATTTTTGACACAGGATTCAATAGGCTTTCACATTTTTTCCCAAAGAGACATGATTCATAACTTCAAAACTTGATCAGCTTGCCAAGATGAGTGGTAGGTGGAGGGGGTTTTCACATCTCTCACCACTGCACCTATCAAGACAAAAACCTTTATGGGTAGATACAGTTTTATCAGCAAAAGTCTGTTTGTCAGTCAAACTTGATGTAAAATGAAAGCTGGTATGCAGAATATTAGCAAAAGTGATCTTTTGATGTAGTCTTCAAACAAACACGGTAAGTTAAAGTTGGATTAAATAACAGTTTGTTAGTAGCTGTGTTACCGGCTGAAGATGGTAAAATACCTCTTCAGTAGTTGCTTAAAGATGTTTCATAGTATTCCTGAATCTGTATACTTTAGATGATATTAATTCACTCTTAAAAGTAGTGAAAAGCTAGACAGTAGGGTTCTTGATTTCATATGATGGTTTCCTTTCAGTCATTAGATGTGTTTCTGGAGGACACTGAGCTTTCTGTTTGCTCTCTTCAGAATTATATTATATAATCATAAATCTATGGATATGTCTTAAGAACTGGTTTCATCCTGCTACATCAACTGGAAAACCATGAGCAGTGATGATTCAAGTGACAGAACTTCTTAAAACAGTTTCAAGTATGCTTGTAAAGTATTACTGTGCTTTCCACCATGCCCCCAACACAGTTCTTCAGTTAAAAGATCTACATTGTAATTTATCTTTTCAGTACAGATTTTCCTTTCTCTCAACTTTTTCGTTCCTGGACAAGAAGAGGCATTTTTTAAATCTAATTCTGTCTTGTAAGGTTATTTTGGTGGCCCTTCTCTGTGCACGATCCCCTTTACTAGTGCAAATATGTATCTCTTGTCTCAAGGGTGATTCAGCTGTTGATATCTCTGGATATGCTTCCTCTTTTTTGAACAGAGTTCAAAAGAATCTGTGCAAAATATCTAGGATGTATTTCCAATTATACATCCTAGTAAATGATACTGGAATGCAATCAAGACATTAATGAATGCACCAGTTCATCTACAGTATTGGAGACGTAAGAGAAATGTAGAGGTTGATGTGGATTTAAGAGTCAGGAATTAGTGTCGTGACTTTTAACGTGGGTACTTAACCACATTCTTTGTAAACTGCTTTACCAAGGTGTGTATGTGCATTTGCTGGGAGGTTTTACTGTATTGCCCTCCAGTCCAACTTTATTATTTGCCTCTTGCTTGGCAGGATATCTGCAACAAGACTGACAGATTGCTTTTTCTAGGCATGCACTTTATCTAGTATGCTGTCTTATTAATGGACTCTATCATTTGAGCATAGATGCCATCATCACACTACACTACCTGAAGTTTGTGACCATGTGCAAACACTGTTTTCATATAATTCACATCATGCATATACAATGTGAAACAGTTACATCTTGCTGATTTCACTGTTTTCCATTGACATTAATAAAACAATATCCAGTATTATTAAATTAAATTAATTTTAAAATAGTACAGACATTTTTGTGGATGTGGAATTATGTATGGATAACCTATATCTATTTAGACAATGGCCAAGGTTATAACAACAGTGCTGAAGTTCCCAGCAGATCAGACTCAGAAGATACTAGAACGAGAAGATGCTCGACCAGTGGTAAGTTATGTAAGTAAAACAAGTTTATGCAAGAGGAGTAGGTTTCAAGAATAAGGAATTAAAAACTTTTTTATGTCTTCTTTTCTGTGTCCACATTCAAGTGGACTCCTCTTCTCTTTGGTTCCCTCTTCTTCAGTGGAATATCAAATTCCAGCTCTAGGTTTGAATTTATAGCAAGAGTGAGAAAACAAGCAAGCATGTTTTCTTTACTAGTATTTTTCCTCAGTTAAGACATATTTCTAATAGTGATGGGTACAGTAGGACCAAAGCAAGTTCAAACATCACTGCTATTCTGTGGATGAATTGTCTAAATTTAAAAAGTAATCTGACATATTAAATATATATATATATATATAAATAAAAATACATATAATATATAAAATGAATGCTTCTTAAATTTAGACGTTTTTGTGGAGACATACCAGTTTTTATGAAAAATATATCAAGAAACATTTCCAGCCCTGAGATAAAATTTCTGGCAAAAACAACAGGCATTTTGCTTGTAGAATAGAAAGTTGATTATCTAAATCACCTGAGATATGTGTTTGAAGTGAGATGTGTACAAATTTATCTTAAGTGGGTATCCTAACAAGACTGGGGTTTTCATTAGGTTTTGGGGTTTTTTGAGTGAGCCTGCATTATTTTTGTAAGGAAAAAAACCAAAAATGTGTTGGTTCGCTCTGGGTCAGGACCGGTCAAAAATAAGAGTCATAAACAGTTTAGTGTTGTTTTTTTTCCCCAGTTTTTTTTTACATTTGCTTAGTATTTAGCAGTTGATCTGTTTACTAGAAAGGTGAAATTTGCTTTGAGAAACAGATACAAAAGGAGGCAAAATTATTTGAGCATAAGCATTTCTTTGGTATTACTTTTACTGTTTTATGTATAGGAGCTACTTTTAATTAAAATAAAAACTACAGTAATAGTCTCCTCTACATTGTATCTGGAATCAACACTGTGATCCCTCTCTCTGTGGGTCACCTTAGTGAAATATTTAGAAATTAAAGTGAGAGGAAGAATTGCTTCCTGTTTCTCTCACTGGCCTTGCATATATATTTTTTTCATGCTTGCAAACACAGAATAAAATAAAAATATTAGTAATTTCATTTCACTTGTAGATACATTAAAGTCCTGTTGATTCACTGAAAAACATTTTTAAAAGTCTGTATTTTCATCTTGCAGAATCACATCTGAGGAAAGTGTTAAATACTTCAACATTTTCCTGTACACTTAGTATGGTCGAGAGCCTTGCAATCTTAAATATTTTTAATACTTTTAGACTATAAAAATATTGATTATACTGCAGCTCCAGTAAGTATCATGTATTCAAAGCATGATTTTCTCTCTCTGACATTAAAATAGAAAGCTGAGACTTTTTTGTTTTGTTTTGTTTTGGTAAGCCAGAGTAATATTTAGGAAAGATTTTGAGAACAGAGAGATGGGCCTTGTTTGGCAGCCACTTCAGCTTTTTGATATTTAAACCTGTTCTTCCTACAACAGCCATTCATAACTTTTGATACAAAATAAAAATTTAACTTGAATTCATCAAACAAATTTTCATCCTTGATATTAAATTTTGTCTAAAACACACAGTGAAGTTTTTTTGCAGGCTACAAGTGTTTTGATTTGTTAATAATGTCTTTGTTCAAAGAGCTCTTGGGTTTCACTTAGCAGTCCCTTCTTGGTTTATATCTGGCCTATGAATTTTCTCCTTTCCAAATCCACAACGAGACTGAGTTACACATCTAATAGAAACTCAAATATTAAGGCATAGTATGGAGGAAGTATTTTTTTCCTTCACTTTCAACGTTATGTGTTTGTTTGCTGAAGCACAAATTATTCTGGGGATGAGTCTTCCATAATTCTGTTTAGAACGAAAAAGTTGGAAATGTCTTTATAAATTATTCTATCAAGAAATATGTTTGGTTTCTTTTGTTTTTTATTTATTGACTGACATGGCTCTCATGTTTCTCCATACTTAATATTGGACTGATGCCAGTATATGAAAATATCCAGTGTTTAGCTCTCAGGAGCATTGAAGTTCTGAACTACAACATAAATGTGCATTTTAACATAGAGCTTTTAGTTTATTGCTAAAACATCTGTAAGTAATTTTGATGTGTAAGTTATTAACTTACTGTGCTACTAGAGTAAGTGTGTGGCACTAAGTATCTGTAACTAATTTTATACCCTCTTAGTGGGCATATATTTGACAAGTTTCTGAAAACTTGTAGCAGTTCCTGGTTAATAAATACATGCTAGATCAGTATAATCTTCAGTAATCTGGCTTTTACCATGTTGTTGTGATCTAACTGCAGCAATCTCATCCATAGATTCCCACAGAGTTCTTACTTGTTAACACTACATAACACTATCAGTCAAATAGTCCAATAAACTCTTTTCTTCCTGGCTTTGTAGTTTGCCTCACCTCGCAGTGGTATCTTTTGAATATGCCACCAGTCTGTGTTTAGCTAGCATGTGGGTGAGTGAAGTCTAATACATTCTTGTATTATGCAAAATGAAATCTGTATCATGCAATTAATATTAATGGTTCTTCTGTTTGGGTTGTTTTTTTTTTTTGCCTGCTTTCCTTTGTTAAAGAACAAATTCTGGTTGTATATGCATATGATAATTTTTGTTTTCCTCTTAATCATGTTTTGCTTTACAAAGCTGAGTTTGAAAATGGTAAATACTGATTCAAAACCAGGCTTTTTGAGTGACCCTAGCCCTAAGCATAACTTCCAATGTTGACTGAGCCACAAAAATCTCAGTAGTAGAAATAAAATCAGATTTTAAATCAATTAATATGTAATACTGAATTTAATTGCACTTGGCTTTGTTTTGGATTTATTCATTTTCTACGTTTTTTGAATAGGAAAATAAATCAGATTTGTGGGAGACATACTGTACTGCTTGAAATGAATTATTACATCTTGTAAATATGAAAATGCGTTATCTTAAAAAAGATTAATATTCTCTGCAGAGGGATTAGAATATAATTGCATTTAAACATCAGTACCTTTCTGAATCACAGCTTTGGTTTGATATCAAGAGACACTAAAGCAGAGAGATGACAGAGAACAATTAGGGGAGCTTTATGCTCTTGGTTTGTGTCTTTCTTCAAGTTTTGTTAAGCTACTTCAATTATGAATCTCCAATGCTAGCTGTAGCATTACAAGAATGGAACAGCTGACGTAGGCCTGAAGATGCAGGTTGCATCAGACTAGCCTAGCTAAACAAGCAACACACATGCAATAGCTGGTTGAGACTGGGCTATGGAACTACACAGGAAAAAACTTTCTGCACTGGCTGATAAAGATTATGATTTGAATCACTAGTGGTGTATGATATTTAATAAACTCTGCAGATGAATTCTATGGGATATGGTCGGTTCAACTTTTTTTTCCTCCTTTGCAACTAGAAAGCTTTGCACAGTTGTCAGGAGTTCAGTGCATGTGAAGCAGTTGCTATCACTTGACTGAAATGCATTTGTTGGCCTGCATCACTGCCAGGGCAAAACTAATTAACTTAGGCTATTGCCATTGCCATTTACCATTTACCACAGTGTAGTTGACAGGTCATCTTCCTCTCCTGCTGTCATGCAAACATAGTCTCCAACACAAAATAATACCTCTTTCAAAGGAAAAAAAAATGTTTCTCTAACAGTCATGGTTTCTACTTTGTGTTTTTTCCATTTTTGAATAAAATAGTGAACGCACTTTATTGCACTTAAAATGCAGTAGAGTTTGGACTGTTTTCCAGCAACCTTAATCAGTTCTGACAAAATCAGCAACTGTTTTCTCTATCCCTTTGTTGGAAAGAATTGAATTGTAGATACTGACGGAACAAAGCTATTTACAACACTATTGCAGAACAGGTTGCAGAAGGTATGATTGAAACTTACATTCTTGTCATGCTGTCTGTAATGATGGTGTAAAAAAATTCAGGTGTTCTGAGCTGCCTTTGAAACATATCACAGAAAGACTTGTTGATATTGACCTTAATGTCAGAAATTATTGGTTACACTTTCATAACATCAGCTAATGTATATGTAAACTGTTCATACTTCATTATTAGATTGTAGTTGCCTACTTAATCTCAAGTATTTTTGTCTCATATTCTTCAACGTATATAACTTAGAAATTAAGGGGGATGCTGACTTCTTTGGGAAGGCAGTTGATATTTTCCTCTAGAGGAGGCTGTGTGCTAAGTCCAAAATTCTGCATCATCATCTCAATTTTGATGATAAGCCTTATGCAAGCGAGTCCAAATTTCTTTTGTTTGGATTAATATGCAATGGTGTGGTAGACTATTTCCAGTGAGACTGCTGACCGTTTCGTTGCACCTTGTTTTGCTTTCATCAGTTCCTCAACTGTTTTGCAGGTACTGGAATGGAATTGCTTGCTCAAATAATTTGGCAGTTTGACTTATTTGAAATTCTTCTGTCTCCTGATTATATTAATAAACAATACAATTATTTTAATATTAAGAGCTTCTAAGTTGTTCTCAATAATGTAACATTTGATTTAATTTCTTCTAGTTGTGGCTACGACCATCTTGAAGATTTTGTGATGAGAATGTCTCATGACATTGCTGCTTAAAATTAGGTTTATACCTGTTGCCTCTTGAGAAGGGACAAGAAGAAAAGCTGTTGTTCAAGATCACAAACAGAACAGCAAGAACCAAAACTCAGCACCACTTTTGGACTGTGAATATAATCTACTGCCTTGGCAGAAATGCTAATCAGGGGTTATTTGGTTATTTCTCTTTGATTGAATACCATCTTCTATTTTGTGTTAAAGGTTATTTTTTTAAAGGAGAGAAAAAACTTTATCCTAGGAAAGAATTGCCTGCTACTGTATCTCTATACAGGTTTTACTGGGTGTTTTCTAAAAGTTAAAATAAATGATTTGTTTCTTCTATTTATTTTTTTTTAATTTTTGATTGAATTGTGCAATACATTTTGGATGGATAGCAATTGAGGTGATTTTTCTGATGAATTAGACAGTCTTGTTGACTATTCTCACCTGATTTGATCTTGATTGTTTGCTAGAAGGTCACTTCTATATGCTTTTGCCTACAATAAATCCAAATTGCAGCACCTCGTTTGTTTACTCCTAGCTTTTGTACTTATATTTTCTGAATAAAAGGTGTGTTCCTGTAAATTGTAAATAGTTACTACATAACTGTATCATACGCTGATCTGTGACTGTTGACAGCACTAATATGAATAGAGCTGAGATGAAATAAAGTTTATATACTGTATAATTTTGGAACAACTTTGGTATGATTTTTCTTTTAAAGGACACACCAGTTTTGTTCTTACTCCTGTTGGAGACATTGTTAGCTGAGATATTTCCAGGCTGAAATCAGGAATGGGACATTTACAACTTTTCTGGGCAACCTGTTCCAGTGCCTCACTATGCTCACAGTAAAGAGTTTCTTCCTAACAGCTAATCTAAATTTCTCCTCTTTCAGTTTAGAACCATTCCCCTTTGACCTGTCACTATCTGCCTGTGTAAAAAAATTTCTTCTGAAAGGCTGAAATGAGGTAATCTTGGAGCCTTTTCTTCTGTCAAAATGAACAACCCTAACTCTCTCAGCCTGCCTTCATAGCAGAGCTGCTCCAGCCCGCTGAGCATCTTTGTGGCCTCCTCTCTACTCACTCCAACAGATCCATGATTTTTCTTGTGCTGAGGACCTCAGACCTCAGCACAGCACTGCAGGTGGGGTCTCATGAGAGAGTAGAAGGGAACAGTCACCTACCTTGATCTGTTGCAAATCCTCTTTTTCTGCAGCCTAGGATACCATTGGGCTTCTGGGTTGTGAGTGCACATTGCCAGGTCATGACCAGCTACCCCCAAGTTGTTCTCCAGAGGACTGTTCTCACTGATTTCTTCTCCCAGTGTTCTCCCAGTCTGGACTCACTGAAGTTGCTCCCAACCAAGGCTGTAGGACTTTGCACTTAGACTTGTTAAATCTCATGAGGCTTTTATGGGCCCAATTTTCAGGTTAGTCCAGGTGCCCCTGCATGGCATCCCTTCCTTGTGCCAACTGCACCATTCAGCTTTATGTCATCTTCAAACGTGCCAAGAGTACACTCGATCCCACTGTCTGTGTCACTGATAAAGATACTAAGGAACACCAGTCCCAAGACAGAGCCCTGACAGACCACTGTCATCATTGTCTTCCATCTGGACATAGAGCCATTGACCACAACTCTCGGGCTGTGTCCATCCAGCCATTTCCTTGTCCACTGAACAGTCCACCCTTCAAACCTGTGTCTTTCCAATCTGGAGATAAGGATGTCACGTGAGACCATGTCAAAGGCTTTACAGATGTCTAGATAGATTACATTGGTTGGGCTTTGCAATCATAGAAGTCCACCTTGATGGAAAATTATGTATTTTTGTTCTTTTAAATAATTCCTGTCTGGTCCTTTTGGCATGTAAGTTGTGATCCTCTGAAGTGATACACAAGTATGCATAAATTTAACCTCTAGCTAGTATGATACTTACTGTATCAATAACTAACATCTATCATATGTTAGTTTACCAGCATAGTACAGGGTGATCAGTCCTCCATGAATACAATTTTTACAAGTATTTGAGGGGCAGCAGTCTGCAACGTATGAATGAGGCATGGTCCCCAGTCGTGGTATAACTGGAAACATTTATTAAAAGTGTACATAGCTTTTATAATATTTTCACTATCAGGTTAGAATAGTGTGAGCCTGGATAGCCAACAGTATATCTGTTCATACGTCTGGTAACCAATATGATCAAGTCCCTAATAGTAACATCAGCCTTTTTTCCCCTAAAACAAGTACTTGTACAACAATTTCTGCAAACTACTGTGCTTCTGCTATTTGTTACATTTTAGAAACTTTGTTACATCTCTCCTGCCTTGACTGAATTGCATTCTTTGTTCTGTTATTAAACAAGTTCTGTTTGTTTTCTTATTCCACAGCAGTGTAAATTGCTCCTGTCTGAACATAAGGGATGAGATTTTTTTGTTATCTGTAGAGGAAAAGAAAAACCTGAATTTATTTGCATATTTTTTTACTCTAGTGAAACTGGAAGTGAAACAAGTTGAGTGATCCAAGGCCTATTGTGGCCACTAGCAGTCTAAAGAATGCAACTTGTTTTAAATTATTATTTAAAGTTTAAAGGGACACGGGTTGATTTTGATAGTTAAGTACCAAGAGTTGCATCTTTATTTCCCACTGCCTCATGTCTGACAAAACTTAACGTTTTATGCTGCTTTATTATTAGTAGCTTCTGGGAGGTTTAGGGGAAAGGGGTTAAACTTTGTCCTTTTATCAAACATCAAATTTGTTTTAAAGTTCCAATATTCTTTGTAAGAGTTTCCAGTGTAAGTCCTTCTCTCTCCTGTTGTGTATCAGAAAGGCATCCTTCAGACTGTGAGAGCAGCAACCTCAACTGGACTTGACAGGAGTATGTTTGGCTCTATTCCTCTCATAGTTTGCTGAGGATTTGTGGGATTTTGCAATTGCTATCATTACAGCAGTGTAAAATGTAGATTTGAGTTTCAATTTTCCATGTAGCCCGTATGTTGTCTTAGGCTTCAGGAACTTCACTGCAGGCATCTATTACTTTGACAGCAAGTATTACTGTGCTCTCCTACAGTTCTCTTGTCCTCACAGATGAGTTATTTTTCACATTTTCTGGTTTTGTTCTTTTCCCTTTCCATGAAATAAACTAGTTAAGAGCTAGTGTCATAGGTTAAGAAGGAAGTGAGTTTTTTTGGAGGTTGTGGTCAAACCAATCAGTGGTGGGATTTGAATATTGGCACCTGGTTTGGCCACTGAAGGTATGGACCACCTCTGAGAACACAGCGGGTTAAAAGCAAGAACTCCCAGGAGAACACTCTCTTGGTTCTGGTCCATGAAGGAGCTCAGAGCTCCCCTGGGGCTGGCTGGGGGAGGGGAAGCCGTGCGGCCGGGTGAGGTAGGCCGGAGCCTCGGGCAGAGGAGAGGGGTGAAGGCCTTGCAAGATGGAAGGGTGGAGGAGCCCTGAGAAGCATCGGGCCCCGCCCCTACCCCCGGGAGATAGAGAGAGAGCCAGTGCCTGTGCTGCCTTGAAATTCGATATCATGGACTGGCAGCACGGCAGGCCAGAAGTGGGGGATGCAGCGAGAGAAGGTGCCCGGCAGCAGTGGGAGTTCTGGGCAGACAGAGGCGAAGATTTTAACCCCTTTGTAGAATAATGGAAACCTTGCCAATACTGATCCTCCTGAATCTGAATGAGGAGAGAGAGATGAAGCATGATGAAATGGGCAAGTGTGAGGAAAGTTGGTGCATGTGAGAGATGTCCAAAGAGGTGAGAAGAGTCCTAGGTGGGAAGAGATGATGGAGTGGCCTTGAGCTGGACTCATTCTTGTATGGCCATGGACAGACCCATGTTTTTCCCGTGACCCAGAGACTGTATTTAGGGGGAAGCAATGCCTTGGAGTCAAGAGTGAAGCAGTGGAGTGAACAGAGACGGCTGAGGAGGGTGTGGGATGCCCTCTGTCTCCGTGGAGAGGAAGATCTCTGTTCATGAGGCCCCTCGGCCCCAGGGGGTAAATTTGGGGGGGCTGGTGTCCCGAAGTTGAGAGACTGCTACTTTTGGAACTGGGTGGAGCATCCTTAAACAGGGAACCCTAGAAGCAGTCCTGGCCCATGTGCAGTGGTGAGAGCACTGGACACAGGAGGGAAGAAGTCACGAGGGCCGATATTCTCTGGGTGGTGCCACGAGTGACATGGAAACACAAGAGGTTTCAGTTGTGTTTCCGGGGGGAAGCCTATGGTGCAAGGGGGGACTCCTCTCTCCCTGATGGATTTGAGGATTGATTATTTGAGGGGTGATGATAGACTGAAAGTTGATTATCTGAGAGATGGTGACGGGGTGGAAATCTATGGTGTTATTTCATTCTGTGGAGAAAATGGAGGAAATGGGAGGAGGAAGAATGTATTTGGAGAGTTTTAATTCTTAGTTTTGTGTTTGTTCCTTTTTAGATGTTGTAATTAATACAATTTGTTTCCTTTATTCCTAAGTTGGAGCCTGCTTTGCTCTGTTCCTGATCACATCTCACAGAAGCCACTAGAGAAAGTGTATTTTCGTGGAGGCACTGGCACTGTGCCGGAGTCAAATCATGACACCTGTACTTTGTCAAATGTGACCTAAGTGCAGTGGAACAAACTGAAATAGCCATACAACATTGCATGGACTAAATAATATTTTCCCTTAAGTAATCTTAATAAAGAATCCAAAAGAGATTATAGCGTCATTTAAATCAGGTAATCACTACCCAAATTCACATTTAGAAAAAGTTAAATGTTTGGGGTGTTTTTTCATATATATATATATATACACACACACACATATGCTCATTAGCAATCACATAATTATTCCTTCATATAATGGAAAGTGTACTAAGTATAAAATTTTCTTCAGGCTGAAGTTTTAACTGCTTCTAGATTTTCTTAAAAGACAATCTGTAAATAAGACATTACTTTAGATAAAGTTAAGGTGAATGCATGAAAGTGGGTGCTTTGCTTTGAGTAATGTTTTTTCTTGTTGGAGTGTCAAATGGTGCTAGTAGTGCCAATCAAATATTGGGCTGCCTTTTTAGCAAAAGTTAGAGGATGTTAAACTCATTCAGACATGATTGTTAGAAGATGCATCTGCAAGAAAATGTATTTGGATCATTTTACACTGAACCATGCCTTTGTCTTATGTGCAATATGTATGATATTTGTAATTTTATGAACTTATACACATGCACCAGAAAATTTATAGATCTGTTTATAGAGATAAGAATTAAAATGTTTATCGAGCATCCTCTAGTGTTCTAAGGATTGAACATAGTTAATTTAGATTAAGAATACCAGGGATTTTATTTATGTATTTATTTATTATTTTAGTGCCTAGGCTGGTATTTATTGGCAACATACTATTTCAAACTTTTAAATAAACATTATCTATAAATCCATCCATCTTCTAGTTCTGCCATTTATAGTACCTCTTTCTGTAATCTGTGCTAAAATTTATTTACTTTCCCGTGTGGTATGTGGTTCTTTCCTCTAAAAGGAGGATTTCAGACTCTAAACTGGAATGAATACTTAGAAGTTTGGTTGATTTTTATAATCTAAACTCTTGCATAAATCCTATTGTCCTATGTGTGCTATGGAAGATACTTTTTTCCCCCTCTGTGGAGCTTGTTAAATTAAGAAACTTATTTTTCATTTGCTGTTTCAAGAAAAAACAGCTCTTTT